AGCTGTTCAGCAGTGGAACTCTCTGCCCCGGAGTGTGGTGGAGGCTCCTTCTTTGGAGGCTTTTAAACAGAGGCTGAATGGCCATCTGTCAGGGGTGCTTTGAATCCGATTTCCCTGCTTCTTGGCAGAATGGGGTTGGACTGGATGGGCCACGAGGTCTCTTCCAATTCTGATTCTGATTCCTTCCCAGGTCATCATCATAGATTGAGATGCTTGTCTGAGAATGCCGGGAATTTGCCGCCATTTGTGACTGAGCATCATAGAGCATCTACAACCGGCCTGGGCAAACTTGGGCCCTCCAGGTGTTTTGGACTTCAATTCCTATCATTCCTAACAGCCTCAAACCCTTTCCTTTCCCCCCTCAGCCAGGCCTGGCCAAACTTGGGCCCTCCAGGTGTTTTGGACTTCAACTTCAACCATTCCTAATAGCCTCAGGCCCTTTCCTTCCCCCCCTCGGCCAGGCCTGGGCAAACTTGGGCCCTCCAAGTGTTTTGGACTTCAATTCCCACAATTCCTAATAGTTTCAGGCCCTTTCCTTTTCTCCTTCAGCCAGGCCTGAGCAAACGTGGGCCCTCCAGGTGTTTTGGACTTCAACTCCCACAATTCCTAAAAGTGGAATCCATAACATCTGGAGGGAAGGCCCAAGTTTGCCCAGGCCTGGTGTAGATTCATATAAATATAGTTTAACTGAATCAGCATCCTCAAACTACACCCCTCCAGCTGTTTTGGGCCACCTTCCCTTCTCAGCCTCATCCCTGCGCATGCGCAACAGCCACTCCATCCCTCACGCTTTGGATACAGACAAGAAGAGACGTCAGGCGGGCGCGAGAGGGAGAGCGCCAGTACGCATGCGCCTGGGTGTGCGCGCGCGTGTGCGGCCGGTCGCGAGGCTGCGCCCTAATTGGATGGAGGAGAGGCGGGAGCGGGTGCACGTGACTGTCGCGTGCGGATTGCGCAACCCGAGGGGGCGGGGCCAAGGCCAGTGACTCAATCTCTGAGAGAAAAAAGGAGAGTGACAGGATGGAAAAGGAGCAGCAGCAGCAGCGGTGGCGGCTTCAGCTGCTGAAGGGGCTGAAGAAAGAGTGTGAGGTAGGTAGGAAGGAAGGGTAGGCTATTGAGTTATTACTACAACTCCCATCATCCCCCGTCATAGGGGTAATTGCTGTGGGAATATGGGAATTGTAGTCCCTGAGGCCTGGAAGGGGATTACTATTGCCTCACTAAGGTTAGGATACCTCTCCAGCATCTAGGGTGCTAGGCCCAGACCTCACACTTAGGGGGCCTCTACATTGTGGAATTAATGCGATTTAGAACCACATTCAGACACAATCAAAGCACCCCAGACAGATGGCCATCCAGCCTCTGCTTAAAAATATTAATGTAATAATTAATAACGTAATATAATAATACCAATGTATTAAACAATATCATACGAAAGCTGACTGGCACAACCTGGGGATCACAACCTGATACAGTGAAGACATCTGCCCTTGCGCTGCGTTACTCTGCTACTGAGTATGCATGCCCAGTGTGGAACACATCTCACCACACTAAAACAGTGGATGTGGCTCTTAATGAGACATGCCGCATTATCACGGGGTGTCTGCGCCCTACACCACTGGAGAAATTACACTATTTAGCCGGTATTGCACCACCTGACATCCGCCGGAGAGTAGCAACCAATAGTGAAAGGACCAAGGCAATGACATCTCTGGCCCACCCCGTTTGGGTATCAGCCAGCACACCAACGACTTTAATCAAGAAATAGTTTTCTAAGATCTACAGAGACACTCGCTGGAACACCTCAGCAAGCGAGAGTCCAAAAGTGGCAGGCTCAAACCCAGAACCTCAATCCATGGCTGATACCAAATGAGAAACTCCCCCCTGGGCACACAGAAGACTGGGCGACTTGGAAGGCGCTGAACAGACTGCGCTCCGGCACCACGAGATGCAGGGCCACAAAGTGGAATCCATGACATGCGAGTGTGGAGAAGAGCAAACCACTGACCACCTGCTGCAATGCAACCTGAGCCCTGCCACATGCACAATGGAGGACCTTCTTGCAGCAACACCAGAGGCACTCCAAGTGGCCAGATACTGGTCAAAGGACATTTAACCAGCTACCAAACTCACAAGTTGTGTATTTTTCTGTTTGTTTGCTTTTTTCTGTTAGAAATGTAATATAATGGACTGGTTGCTCTGACACGACAAATAAATAACCAATGTATTATATATTATATATGCTACAATATATCTATATAAATAAAAATGTAATGTTCGTTTGTGGGATTAACATAACTCAAAAACCACTGGATGAATTGACACCAAATTTGGACACAAGACACCTAACAGACCAACGAGTGACCATCACTCATAAAAACACAGAAAAACACGGCAGAAGAAGCTTTAAAAGCCAAAAAAAAAACATTACAACACATGCATAAAATTGCATATAGACACGCAAACACACATATATACACATATATGTCTTCAGAAAGAACCTGAAGACCTGGCTTTTCCGATATGCCTTCCCAGATTAGGAAATCTCCACTACCAAGTCCCATAAGCACTTTACCAGAACCAATGACTGCTGCACATCGCACTTGCCCTAGAATCCTTATATACACCTCCTGTCACATCAGCACTTTTAATTCTTGTACCCTTTACTCTGGCCCGGCCCAGTTTTATTGTGTTTTAGTGTATTGTGCCTGTTGTTCACTTTGCTTTATTCTGTTTTAATTGTTTGATTTGCTTAGATTGTATTGTTATGTTGTGTGTTGAGGCCTCGGCCTGTGTAAGCCGCATCGAATCCTTCGGGAGATGCTAGCGGGGTACAAATAAAGTTTAATAATAATAATACACATGTACACAAATATATACACACATGTGTACACACGCAAAACACGTATACACAGAGTGGGCCACATCAACAAGTGGCAGGGGATGACTAGTATTATATAATACTAATAGTATAATATACTAGTAGTGTTTTATTTATTTGTTTATGACATTTATATGCCGCCCTTCTCACCTTCTCAGAGCGACTTACAAGGTATATATATATACATACAATATATTATATTATTGGCATAGTATAATATCAGTTACAAAGTTATAAAATTATAGTATAGTATAATAATATACAATAACAATTTTATTAGTAATAATATTAATATATAAATGATATATATTACATGTAGTATTACTAATATTGCACTATAGTGCTCTAGTACAATATAGTAATATATAATACTAATATTGTGCTATGCTAATATATTGTATATACATATAATACTAATAATTGTATTATAGTGTAATACAATATAATGCTATTAATGATGCAATATAATAATACTGTAATAATGTAATATAAAAGTAAAGGTTTCCCCTGACATTAAGTCTAGTTGTGTCCAACTGTGGGGAATGGTGCTCATCTCCATTCCTAAGCTGAAGAGCCGGTGTTGTCCATAGATGCCTCCTAGGTTATGTGGCATGGAGCGCCATTACCTTCCCACAGAAGCGGTACCTATTGATCTACGAACATTTGCATGTTTTCGAACTGCTAGGTTGCCAGGAGCTGGGCTATCAGCAGGAGCTCACCCGGCTCCCCAGATGCAAACCGCTGGCCTTTTGGCCAGTAAATTCAGGAGCTCAGTGGTTTAATCCGCTGCACCACCAGGGGGGCCTAAAGTAATATAGTAATACTAATATATTGAATATAATTACTACTGCAAATATATAATGATATACTGTATTATAGTTGTATATTCGTATATTTTAAGTTGTAATGTTTTTGATTGTGAGCTGCTTTGAGTCTCCGTATGGAGAGATAAAACAGGATATAAATTAAATAAATAAACAAACCTACAGGACTCACAGGCTATTTTAGATTCTATTGTATTTGAACAGCTCTTTTGAATGTTTAGCTTGAATCTTTGCATCCATTGCTCCATCCATTGTGTACCGGTCTCCAGAGCAGTAGAGAACAAGTAAGGCAGGATGGACCATCTTCTAAAGCAGACCTGGGCCAACTTGGTCCCTCCCATCAGGTGTTTTGGACTCTAGCTCCCACAATTCCTAACAGCCATTACTGAACAACAGTTTCCAGCACTTTCCCCTCTACCCTTCTTTTTTCCTCTTCTAAATACATCTGTGATTTTAAAAATCAAATAAATAAAAAGCAAATATTGCCCCTGAGAGATCGACACTTCTGTTGTGTGTAAATTTACCTGTGGGATTCGAATTGGACACAACCTCTTTGGGATAATAATAATAATAATAATAATAATAATAATAATAATAAACCTTTATTTATACCCCGCTACCATCTCCCGCAGGACTCGGTGCAGCTTACAAGAGGCCGAGCCCAAATACATCAGAAACAAGAAATACAACAATAAATAACTCATAACAAAGCAAAACAATAACAAAAATCATGATAACCAAGGCGGTAATAATTATTTGCAATAATTTGTTTTGGTGAATACAGGATTACTACCATAAGGCACTCAGTCAAGTGTATACCTCAGTCATGTATTTTCTATGTTTCTGATTTCTAGTCATAGGGAAGCTGTCTCAATTCGAATAATTACCTATAACTCAAAATGCTCCTGATACCTAGTATTTCGTGTAGCATGATCTTAATTTTTTTAAAGTTAATACTATACATTTCCTATGTCAAAACAGGACCTCAAGACATCTTGTGTTTCCATTCTGCAAACTTAAAAGTTTGTTTAGTTACTTATTTTATCCCACCCTGAGTCACCTTTGGGCTGATATGGGTGGGGTAAAAATGATATAAATAAATAATTAATAAATAAATATTTGCCTTTAGGGCTGCTAATACTTATCTTCTAAGTATTTCAACTTAATAAGGCACACCTTGTTCACTGATCCACTGCCAGATTCTATGCATTGTGAGAGACTGATGAATGATAGAAGTAAATATTGTTTAGAATGATATTAAGCCATTTGATATTTTTTAATCTGTTTGCAGACAAGTGACTACACAAGCCAGATGCCTTGAATATTTCGTATTCTTCTACTGTTGCCTTGGCCGATGACTGCAGCACTACTGAAATGCATCACAAACTTCTGAAGAGTGCTCATTACATTGAGCTGGGAAGCTATCAGTATTGGCCTGTTCTGGTGCCTCGAGGAATTCGCCTCTACACTTATGAACAAATCCCAGTATTTCTTAAGGACAATCCTTACATCACAGATGGCTACAGAGCCTACTTGCCTTCCAGGCTGTGCATAAAAAGGTTTGGAATTAATTCAAGTATTTTTGAATTTAAATTGATCAAGTAGTCTACACTCTGTCACTTTAGTTGTGAATTGATAGCATCTAGTTTTCACGATAGATGGTCTGCATTTTAAAATTGTGTTATTTTAAGTATTAGTAGTGGTTGTTTTATAACTTTATATGTGATATCGTTTTATACTCATGTACCGTTTATGTTATATTGCATTTGGAGTGCCTTGTAAGCTGACCCGAGTCCCTTTTGGGAGATGGAGGCAGAATATAAATAAATATTATTGTTGTTGTTCTTGTTGTTGTTATTATTGAAGTCATTCTTTATTTTAAAGTCCTTTTGTCCCATTATAGTTAGGTACCATAATTGTATCTACTTGTACAATGCTTAGTATAAATATTTTTGTTTATTAAAACAGATATAACTATTCTGTTTTTTTTATAAATCATAGGAATATAATTTAATATAATTCCCACTATGGAATAGTACTTCATTTTGGATTCTTTGAAGCTAATTGCTGGTTCAGAAGGTAGAGTCAGAGAAGCCTTGTTATTTCAGATAAACAGAAAATGGAAATAATCCTGTGCCATATACAATGGGATATTGGTATCCCAGGGGGTTGGTTCTAGAATCCCCGACAGGTACCAACATCCATGAATGTTAAAGTTGTGTTGTATCCAGTGGTATAGTAATATGCCTTTTATAAAATGGGGAATAACTAAATTGAATGACCATCAGAGCCTGAGGATCTGTGAAATGATGGAAGGTCACAATAAGGTATGTCATTGCCTACACATCTGCATAGTGCTTGGTGTGCTCAAAATCAAGGTTTGCATTTCGGATTAAAAAAATATTTTCAAGCTATGGTTGATTGAACCTTTTGACGGAGAACCCATAGATATGAAGGACCAGCTGTACAGTTGCAGTGTGACCATGCTTTGACTGAGGCAAAAGAGAAGGAGGGATGTAATGTATTGTGACATAATTATCTCCTATGCTTCTTGAAGTAGGAATTCATTGATTACATTTATTTTACTAATTATTATTAGTAAAATAAATGTGTATGTGGGTTGTTGTAGGTTTTTTCGGGCTATATGGCCATGTTCTAGAGGCATTTTCTCCTGATGTTTCGCCTGAATCTATGACAAGCATCCTCAGAGGTAGTGAGGTCTGTTGGAACTAGGAAAAAGGGTTTATATATCTGTGGAATGACCAGGGTGGGGCAAAGGACTCTTGTCTGCTGGAGCTAGGTGTGAATGTTTCAACTGACCTCCTTGATTACCATATAATGGCCTGACAGTGCCTAGAGCAAACTTTTATGTGTATACAACTCCTCAGCCAAAAAGGCTTCCAAAGCATTGCACAAGATAAGTGGCACGACTTGGTGCGTGCTTCATGATGATGGTTATTGTCTGCCTGAAGCAACTGAAGGTTATTCCCCAAAAGTGCTGGTGTTTACTAAAAACACAAGGTTTAACTGCTGCTAAACTCCATCTCCCCGTCATGTCTCCACACAGATGGCAGAATGCCAAAGCAACAGCAAGCAGAGAACATTCCATTGTAAAACAACTCCCTGAGTTGCCCAAGTAGAAGTTTTTCTTTAAATACAGAACAGAGCTTTGTGTGTTCAGCATCCCCACTGGACATGGACACACACTGTAAGCCAAAACTGGTATAAAGCAGTTAATGGCAGCTTCTTCGGGGCTTACAGTGAAGTGGGAATTTTCCTTTCCCCCCAAACCTTATCACAGGTTGCATCAGCCACCATTGAAATTGTCAAGGAAGCAACCGTAGAAGTAGCAATACTTATGTTCCACTTCAAAAAAAAGTTAGAAGTGTTCCTGGAAGCCAGGGAAGTAGTGCTGTTTTTACAGAAGCAATGTCTGTACTTTGTTTACAAGACTCCAGCACTTCAAAGATGTAGGAGACATGGAGTTTTCTTAAGAGCAAAAGTGAAGTGATAACTATATGTAAAATATAGAATTGGAAAACCAATTATGAAATTTGTTTGACTGTAAGTCATTCAGTTATGATGCTTTTCTTTATTTTGCAGCCTGTTCATTCTGTCTAATGAGTCGGTCAACATCTGGAGTCACTTATTTGGCTTCTTCCTCTTTTTCACCTTGGGTATATATGACATGACTTCTGTATTGCCTTCGGCGAGTGCCTCTCGAGAAGATTTTGTGATTTGTTCTATTTGTCTCTTCTGCTTTCAAGTAAGTTCTTTTATAACTTGCAGCCTAACTGGGGGATGTGTATATGTACATATATAGTGTTCTGTGTGAAGCTCACATACCTGACTTAAAGGAGCTTGGCATCAGTTCAGGAACCTTCTGTACTTTCTTCACTCAGAAAGGAATTACTCTCCAGGCTTCTCAGATTGTGATTCTCAGTATTCTGTTTCTCAAATTTTCTTTATTTTTTAAAAGAAGCATTAAAGAATTTTATACAAGACTATATAATGCCGTAAAACAACACAGCAATATTCTATTGGCTTTGCACTGCAATAGAATCCCGGTGATTGATGTTATTTATTTGCTTGCCACCTAGTCAAAGCATGCCAAACTGTTGACTTTTATATAATCAATCTTTTTTAAAGATCTTATATGTAAGTTTGTTGTTTCCTTACTACTTGTTAATCTTTGTAATTTGTCCTGAGTGATGTGCTGGAATTGTGCAGCACAAGTGTTCCTAATGAAAACACTTCTGTCAATTTGTGCCACATTATGGAAGTCATTTTGAATAATGTGTGGGGTAAGGATTCGTAAAGGAGCCCCCAGTGGTGCAGTGGGTTAAACTGCTGAGCTGCTGAACTTGCTGACTGAAAGGTCAGTGGTTGGAATGCGGGGAGCAGGTAGAGCTCCCACTGTTAGCCCCAGCTTCTGCCAACCTAAACGTTTGAAAACATACAATGTAGTAGATCAATAGGTACTGCTCCAGTGGGAAGGTAAAGGTGTTGCATGCAGTCATGCCAGCCACATGATGTAGGAGGTATCTACAGACAATGCTGGTTCTTCGGCTTAGAAATGGAGATGAGCACCAATCCCAGAGTCAGATTTGACTAGACTTAATTTCAAGGGGAAACCTTTACCTAAGGATTCATAGAATCCTGGCTTTCAGTTTGGACTGTCGCAATCCAGACCTACACTGGGGAAACCAGAACACCATATTTCTGGGTGTCATTGCCCTTTGGCAAGAGTGAGCCAAGCCTTCTTCTTTTCAAACCCACCTCAAGCCATGAGGAGAGGTGAGTAAGAAATAAAATTATTATTCAAAGAGCTTGCTACAGTAATGATGAAAATCCATGGCCCTTCCCTTCTCCAAGCTAGACAGAAGGATAGCAAGTTCTAGATATTCTCTCTACTTCGCCATCGAAGGCTGTGGCTGGCAGGCAGTGGGATTTGGAGCATCTCATACATGGTCAGTTTTATACAGTAACAGTATGTTGCTTTTGTTCTGATGTCAAAAACGTGCAGGATTCTTCACTAATATCATAAGGCTAGGGCACTACTGGATTTTCCCTAGGAAAGCCAGGTTAATACAGTTTTCTAAATAGTATCTTATTGCTTGACTGACATGAAATTAGACTCTGCGGAAATTAATGTGGATTTGTTTGAATGTTTTTATAGGTCTGTATGCTTTGCTCAGTAGGGTATCACCTCTTTTGTTGTCATCGCTCAGAGAAGACAAGTCGACGATGGATGGCATTGGATTATGCAGGAATTTCCATTGGTATCCTGGGCTGTTACGTTTCTGGAGTCTTTTACGCATTTTATTGCAATAATGTAAGTTGGCATTCACGTTAACAAGTGTTGGTTTTCTTTCTTTGTTATGGATATTTCTGTTTGTATTATAATTGCACATTTTGACTAGCAGGAACTAAATATAAGTTAGAATGTGGAAACTCTTATAACTTCAGATAAAACTAGTTTCGCAAGAATAAAAGGAAAGAGAAGGGGCACTAGAGTTTTGGTCTAGGGCAGTGGTTCTCAACCTGTTTGTCCCCAGATGTTTTGCCATTCGGCTCCCAGAAATCCTAACAGCTGGTAAACTGCCTGGGATTTCTGGGAGTTGTAGACCAAAATGTTTGGGGACCCACAGGTTGAGAACCACTAATCTAGCGTGACTATAGATTCATCTTAAAGAATTCATCTAGCAGTTTTCAAAATCCCACTTCTTTTCAAGCATTTGTTTAAAATGTCTATCTTTCCTCTTAAAAAACAAAATAGGAGACAGGTGCTTTTCCCACTGAAACGCAAAGTTGTTCCCTGAACAAATGTACCATTACCATTCTAGTGTCTCACAAGGCAAAACAAGACATAATGTTGGATCCAAGCAAATAGAATGCTGAAACAGACTCAAAGTTTGGCCAGTTTTCAAGAAACAGTTGGGGATAATAAAATTGAGCCAGAATTACTACGGGATCCTCTTAAATGTACTTGTATTTGTTGGGGAAGGTGTAATTTGGTTCAAAATGCATTATTACGATTGAAGTTAAATCTTTCAATGAACTTTTGTAAATTGAGGTTCATGTTTTTATGGTTAGATATAATTTTACTTCTAATTGTTTGTGTAATTTTAGGTCTTTGTTATAATTAGTAGATCAATGTCTGTTTGCTTTGGAATTGGATGGGTCAGTAATGTATTCATGTTTGTACTTGTCTTGAGGCATTGAATGTTTTCCTCTGTGTTTTTTGTGTGTTGGAATCTGTTGCAATTGACTACCTTGATTAGCATTGACTAGCCTTGCAGCTTCAAAGCCTGGCTGTTTCCTGCCTGAGGGAATCCTTTGTTGGGAGATGATTAGCTGACCCTGATTATTTGCTGTCTGGAATTCCCCTGTTTGCTGAGTGTTGTTCTTTATTTACTGTCCTGATTTTAGAGTTTCTTAATACTGTTAACCAGATTTTGTCCGTGTTCATGGTTTCCTCCTTTGTGTAGAAATGGTCCACTTGATTGTGGATTTCAATGGCTTCTCTGTGTAGTCTGACATGGTGGTTGTTAGAGTGGTCCAGCATTTCTGTGTTCTCCAATAATACGCTGTGTCCGGGTTAGTTCATCAAGTATTCTGCTTTGACTGACTTCTCTGGTTGAATTAGTCTGCAGTGTCTTTCATGTTTCTTTATTCATGTTTGGGCAATGCTGTATTTGGTGGTCCCTATATATAGATTTGTCATCAGCTGCATGGTATATGGTAGACTCCTGCAGATGTGAAAGGATTCCTCTTGTATGCGTCATTTGTGGAAATTGCTGCTCCCAATATATATCATTTAATTTTGCCAAAGAAGTGGTTTTAGATACCATTAAGCCCTGCTGTGTGGTAGTGTGGTATTTTCTTAATGTAAAGACATACATATTCAAACCTGGTTCATGAAATATTCAGTATGAACACAATTCATAGTATCTATACAATAGGACTTTATTCCTTTTCATAAACTGAAATTTCTTTATAGACTGATCTTGCATTCCCCAAATAAATTCATAATGAAGAATAAAAATAAGTTCATTGGTTTTTGGGCCAAATAATCATATTCGGCATAAGCTCTCTTAATCAGGGATTTGATGTATGTAACATCAAATCAAATAGTCTATAGCTTAATGTCAGAATGTAAATAAATGCATATTTGTGTTGTTTTACCTAAGACAACACTTCTCATGGGATTTCTCAGTGGTTTGCTTACTTGACCATAGAATCATGCTAAAGGAGTTAAAGAGAACATATGAATTAAATCCATAAATCATCAAACCTACACATGTAAAGGGCTGACTATAGACGTTTTTAAACATCAATCTGTTGCTTAGATGTTTTTATTTTATTTATCGTGTCAGGGGCAAACCAAACAGTTATATTGCATTTTTTAACAAACAAACAAAACACAAAGTTTGCAAGCTTGGTAGTTGATTAAATGTCCTTTGACCAGTATCTGGCCACTTGGAGTGCCTCTGGTGTTGCTGCAAGAAGGTCCTCCATTGTGCATGTGGCAGGGCTCAGGTTGCATTGCAGCAGGTGGTCAGTGGTTTGCTCTTCTCCACATCCGCATGTTGTGGATTCCACTTTGTAGCCCCATTTCTGAAGGTTGGTCTGCATCTCGTGGTGCCAGAGCGCAGTCTGTTCAGCGCCTTCCAAGTCTCCCAGTCTTCTGTGTGCCCAGGGGGGAGTCTCTCATTTGGTATCAGCCATTGATTGAGGTTCTGGGTTTGGGGCTGCCACTTTTGGACTCTCACTTGCTGAGGTGTTCCAGCGAGTGTCTCTGTAGATCTTAAAAAACTATTTCTTGATTTAAGTCGTTTACATGCTGGCTGATACCCAAACAGGGGATGAGCTGTAGATGGTCCTTGGTCTTGGTCCTTTCACTGTTGGCTGCTACTTCCCGGCAGATGTCAGGTGGTGCAATACCGGCTAGACAGTGTAGTTTCTCCAGTGGTGTAGGGCACAGATGTTGAAAAGGTGTTTATTCTTAGCTTCGAACCTTGAGTGCACATTCTATCTTCTGAGAAATTTTCTCTTTCTGTGTCTCTTGACACATACTGACCTGATTTTTTAATTTCTTTTCCAGTACTGGCGTCAAGTCTACTTGATCACTGTCCTTGCCATGATCCTGGCAGTATTCTTTGCTCAGATTCACCCAAGTTACCTCACTCAGCAATGGCAGAGGCTGCGCTCCATCATCTTTTGTTCGGTGTCAGGCTATGGAATCATTCCTACCATCCATTGGGTTTGGCTCAATGGAGGTGTCACTGCCTCTATTGTCCAGGTAAGCTGGGAAGTCCCCGGGCTTGCATCCCAGGTCTGCCTATGTTTGTTCAAAAATACATCCCTTTGACTTATTTCCAGATAAGGTGGTTCAGACTTCCGTCCTTTACCTCACTTATGAAAGAGAAGTTTTCCCTAAATTAATGGGTTTTTTAAAAAAATCTGAAGCAAAAAAAAAAAAACCCTCCATAGTGAAAATGGAATGGACTTGTGTTAGGTTGTGTCAAAAATATTTATTTCAGGAAAAATAAAAACTAACCTTGAGCACAAATTTTGATTTGGAGCACAACAGTAACAGCATTAGCCATCAGCATGACATCAGCTCAAAAATGTTAATTCATTTCTAAAATAATTTAATAGGCAGTAACATTGTTATTAGGAACCCTTGTTGGTGCAGTGGGTTAAACCACTGAATTGATTAACTTGCTGACTGAAAGGTTGGCGGTTTGAATCCGGGGAGCAAGGTGAGCTCCTGCTGTTAGCTCCAGCTTCTGCCAACTTAGCAGTTCAAAAACATGCAAATGCCCCGTTACATTCGGTGGGAAGGTAACGGCACTCAATGCAGTCATGCCGGCCACATGACCTTGGAGGCATCTCCGCACAATACCGGCTCTTCGGCTTAGAAATTGAGATTAGAACCACCCCGCAGAGTCGGACATGACTAGAATTAATGTCAGGGGAAACCTTTACTTATATTTTGTTGTATTTTATGGATGTGTCTTTCTAACAAACAGAGATATGTAAGAATATGAATTTAAAAGGTCTAGATTGTATTGTGAGTTCAGGGACCTACTTAACACTTACCTTGTGTTGGAAAAAATTATCTTTTTGCTGTTGAGTGTTTTTAAAAGGTCTGAATCTTTCTGACCTCCACAATTAACATGGCTTCTTTTTCTTTCAGGAATTTGCCCCTCGTGTGATTGTGATGTACTTGATAGCTGCCATAGCATTTTTATTCTACATTTCCAAAGTCCCAGAAAGATATTTTCCAGGTAAAACTGTTTATTCTTCATGGCTGAAGGCACACCACTTGGCAGCTCTTGAACCTTAATAATATTAAATAGGAATCATTATGTTTCTATACTGAAGATGTTGTGCATATGTGTAGATCTGCTTTGTCATTTATTGTTATTTAACTAGGAGACGCTGATGATAATGACGTTGGTTTTTATTGTTTTTATTGATTCTGTTGTGGTTTTATACTGCTTTGATGTTTAATTTGTATTTTGTTGTTATGTGAACTGACTTGTAAACCGCCTTGAGTCACCGTTAAGGCTGAGAAAGGCAGTATACAAGTATAATAATAATAATAATAATAATAATAATAATAATAATAATAATAACAATAATACTTTATTTATACCCCACCACCATCTCCCCAAGGGACTCGGAGCGGCTTACATGAGGCCAAGCCCAACAGCACATCAAAAACAACAAGCAATAATAAAATAACAAGCAATAAACAAAATAAACAATACAATTAATATAACTCATAAGTAGACAATAACACACAAGAGTTTAAAAACCTATGGCTGGGCCAAATGTAATAGTTAAAACTTTAAAAATAAATGCTGGACATAAATAAATAAATTGTCATCTGCACTGACATCTTGGTATTTCTGTGATAAGATGAAGATCTTTATGTAGGGATTGGGAATTCTGGCTATATGCCAAAGTTCATTCCATGTTGCATGAGCATATACTATTCTGCACACTGCATTCTAAGACACATGACATGTCCCTCTGTTTTCATGGCTTTCAAAATACTTATTTATTTAAAATTATTTTTATTTAAAACTTTTATATCCCAATCTTCTCAACCTCTGTAGAGGAACTCAGACCGGCTTACTTGCAGTTGTTTTGGAAATTCTGTATAAAAATATGTCTCTAGAAATTCAAAAGACATGAAGAGGAAAGTGTAGTGCAAGGATATTTCCTTAGGAAGAGTCAATGTTTGTTAGCTTTTCAGAAGTATATCAGGCATCTTTCACGTAAGGAATGAGCGGAGCCTCATTTCTAAATCACTTAGATAGATATAAATTGCTGTCGGTGTGGGATATGTTCCTGGAGTTTGTGTGGATATGTGGAACTGCAGACGATGGCAAACTATACTGAAGCAAAGGATTTCTATCCCAAGGATGCCATCAAGCCATTCTGGAGGACCTAAAAATGTCTAGAGAGGACATATTTCATTGGACCTGGATAGCAAAATTGCAGATTGTTGTCCTGTAGATGTAGAGGTTGTGCTATACAAAATGGGTGCTTGAATACACACAAAGCAGTATCCAGATTAATAAAATGTGTGTGGTCTCCCCCCACACTTTTTTTTTACTAACCTTCTGTGTCTCCTCCTTTCCCAAAGGGCAGTTAAACTACCTCGGTTCTAGCCATCAAGTCTGGCATATCCTCGCAGTTGTGATGTTATACTGGTGGCATCAGTCCACCGTGTACATCATGCAGTACAGACATAGCAAGCCTTGCCCTGACCATTCAACACAGTAGTGCACAAAGGTAAGCCGGTTTGGGTACAAAAGCTGATGAAGATGAGCTGAATTGTTTTAGGATGGGCCATTTCTCTTTTCTTATGTTTTCTAATAAACATGGACCTGGTGAGATCCCTTAACCACATGTCAACAAAGAAGGGTACCTGACTATTGGAAGGTGTCTTGCTAAAGACTTGGAATTCTCTTTCAGAGTTATCTGTGTAAATTCCAGATTACCAGAACCCTTTCTTGAAGACTTTTATTCATTTGATGCTCAAATGTATTGCATATTTTTTAAATTAGTTCAGATAATCCAGCTTGGTATTGCCTTTGCTGGCTGGCAAAGTTTTCAGCCATTTTTTTTTTCAAGCAGGCCCAAGGTTTGGATGAGGGACCTTGTTACAAAGCATATTTGCCATACTACAGTGACCTTTCATTTTATTTTTACATTTCTTCCTGAAATATTCTGTATCCTAAAAGTGTTGAGTAAGACCATGGTTACAAAGAACAAAAGTGGTAGACTCCCTGTCCTTCAGTGCACAGATTTTATTATATTTATTTACAGCATTTATATTCCACCCTTCTCACCCCAAAGAGAACTCAGGACAGATCACAGAACACATACACAGCAAACATTCAATGCCGTTAAACAGACAGGACAGACAACAGATAGAAGTATATGTCAGCATTTTTCCCAACTTCGGCGTCCTGGAGGTTGTGCTCGATTCTGGCCACATGGGTGCTGTCACTCCATCCTCTATGATGAAGAGTCTTGATCACAGACTTCCTCCTTCATTTGATCGCCCACATTTTCTGGTATTTTTTTTATGGTGCTGTAAAATACCTCCCTGCTTAAGTGCTACCAAATTTCTCTACTCACACCTCACAGCTGTTTTCGAACTGCTTAGGTGGATAGTGTAGAGTGCCTTGGACCACAAGAAGATCAAACCAGTCCCTCCTTCAGGAAATAATGCCGTCTGCTCACTGCAGAGAATGATATTAGAGGCAAAGATGAAGTACTTTGGCCACATAATGAGAAGACAGGAAAGCTTGGAGAAGAGAATGATGCTTAGGAAAGGAAAAAGGAAGAGGGGCTGACCAAGGGCAAGATGGATGGATTGAATCCTTGACGTGACTGGCTTGACCTTGAAGGAGCTGGGGGTAGTGATGGCCAACAGGGAGCTCTGGCGTGGGCTGGTCCATGAGGTCATGAAGAGTTGGAAATGACTGAACAAATAAATAACAGGTGGACAGTAAGCTGGGCTGAAGGTTGAGTGCTCACCCCGACCCGGGCTTTGAACTACCAACCTTTTGATTGGTAAGATCTATTGCTGCTGGTGTTTAACCAGCTGAGCTAAAGCCCAGCCCACATGAGATGATGCATTTTCTTTTAACTGTTTCTATCCAAGTCAGAAGTAGTAGTTTGTTCCCTAAGCATGATCTTTTCCTCCTGAAATTTGTGTGAAGTTGGCAACAACTGTATTTCCACTAGAGGTTTGTCATGCCACAAGATAGATACTACCTCATATCTTCTAGTGCTACTACTTTGCATCTTCTTAGACATGAGGACCCAGCCCAGTTTACCTGTCCGAATGCATCTTCCTTTACGAACCACTACGGAAACTAAGATCTTCTGGGGGGAGGCCTGCTCTCAGTCCCACCACCATCACAGGCGCGTTTGGCAGGGACGAGAGACAGGGCCTTCTCAGTGATTGCCCCCCAGTTATGGAACTCCCTTCCTGACAATATTAGATCAGCCCCCCTTCAGAAGGATGGTGAAAACCTGGCTGTGGGACCAAGCCTTTGGGGCAGTGCAGTGCAGTGAGGCAAAATTGTGTCCTGAAATGTTTTTTAAGCAACTTTTCATGTAGATATAACTGATTTTAATGTTTGTATATATGTTTATGGTTTTATGTCCTGGCGTTGAATGCTTGGCGTATATATGTTGTGCTCTGCCCTGAGCCCCCTGCGGGGTGAGAAGGGCAGAATATAAATGTTTTAAATAAATGAGACAAAACCTCGCTTCTTCTGTTTTTCAATTTTGTCTTTACTTCTCTCTTGACTTGGCTTCCTTTGCAGAAAAGAATCATAACGGGATGCCTTGTCTTTTCAAATGTATTTTGTTTATTTTTAGATTTTTAGAAGTTTGTGACAGTGAATGTGCTGATCAGATGAAGCGCAGCCTAAAGTGGTTGCTCCTATGAATGAATCTTCTCTCCACTAAGGATGGTATGTTAACAGGCCTTTCCGAGCCAACTGAGCAGGTCTCCAGCAGCCAAATGACTTTCTGTTCAAATGAGGACAGTGAAGGAACTGCAGCAGTCACCCTGTATCGGGGCAATAGAGCTGGAACTTATAAATATGTAAATGGGTCACTTTTATTCAAACTACTGATGTACAGAGTTTGGCCTGAAAAGGGTCAGTCCTAATAAGCTGAGGAAATGTTCTCTAAAATGCATGTGCGTGAAGTTCCAGCAACACGTTCTTATTCTGGAACCTCACCTTGGAATGTGAAAAATACATGTTGTCTGCTGTACCTTTTTAATGTGTTTTGTGTCCCTGCACTGATATTTGTTGTTGTGAAACTATGGATTTGATGCATTTCTACTGGATTTTCTTTGTACTCTCAAAGAGTATCTGCCGTGACTTTCTTCAGTGGTCACTCAACGAGTTAATCATATCTTGAAAGAAGAGTTGGACTCCATCAGTACTTTTAAGCAGAAGGTTGCTCTCCATTATGTCTTTAAGATAAAAGGGACATTTAAAGAAGTAAGACTCCTCACAGGCCACATGCTGCTACATGTTTATGTATTGCTTTTATTTTATTTTAATTTTTCAGGATATCACTTACCTGCTGCCAAATTGTAAGGTAGCCTTTTGTGCCTGGGCAGCCATCCCCTGCCTTTTTCTTTCTGAAGTAAGTGGGAACCATGGGAGTAGACTATACTGCACTTCATTTAGTTTCTAACAGTTTGGGGTCTGGCTACTGATGTGGCCATCTCCATTTTGATGTTCCAGCTATCACTTCTTTGCAAAATGATAGTGAGCTGGTCTATATAGAAATTAGAGGTATGTAAACTAGTACCTTACCTGTGACTTGAATGCTACTGTTAACAAGCACTTGTTCATAACTGTGGGCATTAGTATAGAAGAGGATTAACATAAGGAGCTGCCCCTAAAAAAGCAGCTGATAAATCCATGAAATCAAAGGTTGACAATCATTCACTCATGTAAAGAGTCCCCAAGTTACGAACAAGATGGGTGCTGTAGGTTTGTTTTTAAATTGAATTTGTATGTAAGTCAGAACAGGTACATTTTTAAAATGTAGCTCCAGCCATATATATATAGATAAATAGAGTATAGATAGAGATAGGTAGCTAGAGAGAGAGAGAAGAGAGAGATAGCTCTAGATAGCAAAGGAAAAGGTCAACACCCTGTGGTATTTGTTTTGCTATCTGTGCGCCTGTTCAGAAGATTTCACCTCACTTTGCGTCCATATGAGAATTGGATTTTGAAAAATTCGGCTTCTTATGGAAAGAAGTATTGGTGATACAGCTATAGTTAAGACACCTTTCCTCCATGACAACCCTTTTAGGAGTGAATTTCCCTTCCAAGGGGTAGATTTATCTCACTTCCAGTTGTTTCACCCCTGTTCTTAACTATGAGTCATTTGTAAGTCGGATGTTTGCAACTTGGGGACTGCCTGTATATATACACACACACACATTTCCTTAAGGATAATCTCAAAGATCATGTGCTGGTAACAGGAGAGGCTAGGGCCAAAAGTAGGTGACCTTCATCCCCCTTTTTTCTTGCAGATTGCTGAGAGAAGGACAAATTGCTTACAAAGAAGCTTGCATTTATTGGGTTATTGTGAGTTTTCCGGGATGTATGGCCAGGATCCAGAAGCATTATCTCCTGATGTTTTGCCTGCATCTATGGCAGGCATCCTCAGAGATTGTGAGGTATGTTGGACACTAGGAAAATGGGGTTTATACATATATCTGTGGAATGTCCAGGATGTGAGAAAGAACTCTTGTCTGTTTGAGGTAGGTGTGAATGCCTCAATTGGCCACCTTGATTAGCATTTAATGGCCTAGCAGTTTCAAGGTCTGGCTTCTTCCAACAGACCTCACAACCTCTGAGGATGCCTGCCATAGATGCAGGCGAAACATCAGGAGAGAATGCTTCTGGAACATGGCCATACAACCTGGAACACTCACAACCCAGTGTTTATGGCCATTAAAGTCTTCGACAATTCTTGCATTTATTATTCGCAGTTTTTTTAAAATTAGGTTGCCTACCTCCCAATTCCCCATGTACCTTACATAAAACGCGCCTCTTCTTCAAATTCCTTTCCAGTATTGTTTTGCCATGGGAAACCAGCCAGGGTTTCAAGAAGCAAGATGACTGCAGAACATGGTGTTCTGACCTTAATATGGCCCACGTTTAGCATATGGGGAAATGCTTTTTGCATTCCAACATGTTTTAAAGTTATAGAATATAGCAGCCTACCTTTTGTTTCCTGTTGAACAGCTGTTACATCCTGCATTGTTCTGTATTTCTAAATAAGAAAAAAGTGTCTAGGGCATTTAAGTAGCAAGTTGGCATTGAGTGGTGGGGCGGGGGGGGCGGTATTGAAACCTGACAATTTTTACTTGAGGAAAAACTCCACTTCCTTGAAGAAGTTAAAACACAGGAGAAGCCAAGTGGCTAAAATGACTTCAAGTGAGTCATTTTTATCTTGACTCACTCTTGATATACAAACTCAAGGCGCCTTCCTCCTATGCCTTGTACCTTGCCATGTGAAACGACATTTGGTTTAAGTATTTGTAGTCAAGCCTCATTCACAATAAAGTCTCTGCACTCAGCGTTAACAAAATCCATAGTGCTTATCCCAATTTTCATACTTGTTGTAATTTAAACAAGAGTAGAAAATTATGAATATTGGGAGTTGCACGTGTGTCCTAAAGTATCAGGATTGTTGTTGGGCTGATTAATTATGAATAGTATTAATTGTTGACTGAGAAGTTTGCAACCCTAAAAGTTTGTAAATTACTATATGAGGCATGATGAGAAATAAGAGTCCCCATGAGAGGAATTATGTATTAATAATGTTCACTAAAATTAAACTGGAGAATCTTAAATGTTTACTAATGCTAAAAGCAAAACTGATATACTGAAGGTGGAGTAGTAGGGTTTTTATGTTTACAGCTTTTAGCATTGCAAGACAGTAAATTCCTTTTCGACCGTTCTTCCCATACCCATTTTTAGTGAAATTCACTCCAGTATAAGGATTTGTTTTTTTATGGTAGAGTGTAAATATATAATGCAGATATCTTGTGTTAAGACAGACTCATCACCTATGAAGGATGTACAACAAAACCTTTTGCAAATACTGTTACGTGTGTAAACCAGCTTTTTTCAAATATTTTCTTTAATATGTTAATTGCTCAAACACAAAAGCAACTAACTGCTGTTCAACTGCCTGAAGGAAACTGAATGCAAAAACAAATACATCAACTTTCATGTTTCCTATATTTTAGGCCTTTTCTGGTAATGTAAACTTTATTAGCCTGTGAACACGTACCAGTATCTGTTGTAGGAGCCTCAATTTAAATGTATCTAACAACGCCTTGCTGTATAAATGGGTTTAAGAGTGCTGCTTCTCTTACTTCTTTTACCCATTTGTTGTCACATGTACAAAGTAAAGTCACAATAAAATCCTTGGTATATACAATCAAGTGCAATTTAATAAATGTTCACAATATGTATAATTTAAAACTTGCCTCTTGTCAATAAACAAGTTCATGGCAACTCTGGCTTATAGTCTTTCTGCAGAAACAAGCAAACTGTCAGGCAGCCAAAGCATTAGAGAAAGAGGGACTCTACATAGATAGGTAGGTAGGTAGATATCTATATGGATGTGAATGCGAGATCCTCTTGTCATTGACATATGTATGTATGTATGTGTGTGAAAATACAGCCCTTATGGGCACAATGGCATCTCATTGAAATCACATGGTGGAGTTACAGGACCTATGGTTTGGAGGAAACAATTTTTAGTCTGGCTAAAATAGCTTGCTATTTTCATGTTCCAAAGTATGATATCAAGCTAGATGAGTTAAATGAGCTTAATCCTTCAAAGCTAGGAGTTGAGCTGTGACCATTTCTGAATGGACCAGAACGTTCTCATTTCCATCCAATTCCATGGAAACAATCAATGTGTGCTGTCTATAATTGACTGGATGAGGTTAAATTACAACTTAATCCCAACAGAAGGGCTCCTGTTTAGTCCTAAGGCAGTTCTGGAAATAAATGTGGATGGGGTTCCACTCCCCCTGAAACCCCAGTTCCACAGCTTGGGGGTGCGCCTGGACTCAGATATGAGCCTAGATCAGCGTTTCTCAACCTGGGGGTCGGGACCTCTGAGGGGGTGTCAGAGGGGTCGCCAAAGACCATCAGAACACACAGTATTTTTCTGTTGGTTGTGGGGGTTCTGCGTGGAAAGCTTGGCCCAGTTTTCTCGTTGGTGGAGTTTAGAATGCTCTGTGATTGTAGGTAAACTATAAATCCCAGCAGCTACAACTCCCAAATGTCAAGCTCTATTTTCCCCAAATTCCACCACATTTAGGCATATTGAGTATTTGTGCCAATATTTGGTCCGGATCCATCAATGTTTGAGCCCACAGAGCTCTCTGGAGGTTAGTGAACTGTAACTCCCAAACTCAAGGTCAATACCCACCAAACCCCTCCAGTATTTTCTGTAAGTCACGTGTGCCAAGGTTGGTTCAATTCCATCATTGGTAGAGTTCAGAATGCTCATTGATTGTAGGCGAACTATAAATCCCAGCAAATACAACTCTCAAGCAACAAAATCAATCCCCCCAACCCCACGTATTGGTTATTTGTGCCCAGTTTGGTCCAGTGAATGAAAATACATTCTGCATGTCGGATATTTACATTACAATACATAACAGTAGCCAAATTACAGTTATAAAGTAGCAATGAAAATAATGTTGGGGGTCACCACAACATGAGAAACTGGGTTAAGGGGTCGCAGCACTAGGAAGGTTGAGAAACACTGGCCTAGATGCTCACATTTCAACAGCAGTCAGAAGTGCATTTGCACAGCTAAAACTGGTGTACTATCTGCATTCATTCCTTGAGGAGTCATATCTAGCTATACCAAAACATGAGTAGATTGCATCGCATTTGGATTACTGTAACATGCTGTACATGGAGTTGCTTTTGGAAACTATTCAGAAACTTCAGCAGGTCCGAAATTCTGTGGTCAAGTTGCATGAAAACACATTAGCCCTCTGGCTGAATCAATCCCACTTGTTGACGATCTTGTCCCAGGCAGAATTCAGTGTGCAGCTTTTGGCCTTTAAGGGTTGTTGAACATATTTAGAATATTTTTGGGTCAGTTTCATTGAAGGGGACTTTTCCTCAATAAACATTGATACCACAGTGAATGTGGTCATCTGATCTCAGCAGAAATTACTAGAATAAATCATTGGCAGCTGTAAATAATGAAGACAAATGACATAAAATGCAATTTTTTGAAAAGCTCTTAAAATCACAGAAGGGTCTTCAAAATCATGGTATCTTGTATATTTATTTAGTAACAACTAAAAGTTGTTTTCTCAGATACAATTTCACACAAAAGTTAAAGTTCTGTATTAGTGGTACACACACACACACAAGCGCTTTAGAAATTTCAAGTCTAACGAGAAATGGAAGTGTAATTTGAAAAAGTGCACTTAAAGCTGTTGTTTTCATTTTGCCAGCAATTAAAATATAGCATTAGACGGTTTTACTCTTGAGTGTTGTCATAGTCACAGTAACCAAACTTTGCTATACTACACTTCTTTCCAGAGAAACACTCTAGAAAAATAACTGGGCTAACATTGTGTTTGCATTTTCGTGTTATTCTTTTAGCAGCTTTTGGCTGGAATTTGCTCTTTTCCCCCATGTCTTGTAAATGATTGTGACTGCAATGTTATGTTTTAGATCACAAACTCCCAAGAGATGTGATATGTGTGTGTGTATGTTTTATATACTTTTCTCTTATATAAAAATACACCCTATCATATATATAAAAATCTTCAGATAAACTCTAGTTGCTATTCTCACAGTAGTAGCTGTATCCATTTATTCTCACAGTAGGTTCTTTTCTTTCTTTCTTTTTTAGGGAGGAGGAGAATAGTGAGGACTTCTGTTCAGGCCTACCCAACTTAGGGACTGAAACTTCCATGTAAATTATTGGCTGCTTGCCACTGAGTTTAAGCAGGATCAAGCTTATATATATGGATAGACAGATCCTTCTTTTATGCAGGCTAGATATAAAAGGGAATTTAGATCCCCCAAACCAATGTTTGAGTTTGCGAGTGGCAGTGAAGGATTCACCCGGATCAACCACTGTACTTTCACTGGACTAGAACTCGTAAATCTGGCTGACAGTACCATTATCCTGGGGTGATTTTACTAAAAAATATAAAATACTGACAGCTGGTATTTACCATATTGAAGGTTTAACCACATATGTTATTTCCATGTCTGGAATTAAATATTAGGCCTAGTTGTCAGAATAGTAAAAAGCACCTTATGAAAACTTATTTTTTTACCATCCACAGTTGATTTTGGAAGATCGGGGGCTAAGCACACTTGCTAGTCCCAACTCAAGTAGATTGTCAATGAGAACTTGGAAACTTGAAGAACAATTAAATCGTTCTGTTGTAGGTAGGACTACAAAACTGGATTTACCCCCTACTTGGCTGTCTGCTACATACTACTGAAACAATATCTGGAGAGAACAATAACACTCAGTTGGCCTGTCATTGGTATGAATCGGTATCTTTCTACTATTTTACAGAAGACCACGAGAGACTGGCCTTCATATGCACACAGTACCCACACAATATAAGCAACAACATTTCCCCCACAGGTACTGATAAATGTCTTACATGAAGTCCAGAATTGAAAGGAAACTTATTAAACACACTTTCCACAGTTTCTTGGCAAAAGCGAAGTAGGCAGAAATCAGTGTTGAGGGGTCTGCCACTATAACAAGAACAAAGGATTTTAAAAAACCCAAAACGTAATTATTTACAGTAACCTATGAAAATAATATCTTATGCAAAAAGAGACTATCTCCAGTCTGTAATGTAAGAAGCAAAGAGGGTATCAGAAACCCTACTGGAAAGCAAAGAAGGTTGGCAATAACTTGAATGGCCACTTCTGTTTACTTTGGCCTTAAAAGAAATATGCTACAGAATATATTTTTAGGCCCCAAACCTGCAGAGCTCCATACTTTTTTTTTGCCCTTACATACTCACACATACTACCTACCTCCACACACAATAAACCAGCACACACACACACACACACACACACACACACAATTATAAGCAATAAGCATTGTTCAACTGAGCAGATGTTCTTCTCCAAGAGCCTTTCCTCTGAAAAATGTATTTCCTCTGGAAAATGTACATCAGACCTAATGCCTGATCTGATGTAACTCTGCATCAGACCTGACGACTGAAAAAGGCCTTGTTAATTTTCTGGCACAACTAATTTTCATTTGGGAGATCCAGATGCAAGTAAGAACCAACTGAACTTCTGCCCTCCTCACCACTTAATTATTGCAGAATAAAATCGCATCTCTTTTGGTCAAATGCTTTTTGTATGTCTATATGAAAGTGTAGAGCAAAACTATTATCAACTTGCTATACGTATAAGGAAGTATCTTAACTTAAAATAATGTAGGTTATTGCACACATAATAGTGCAACAATCTGATTATTCTTGGGTATTTTTCATTAAAAAAAACTTCACAATCTTAACTCTGTGGGAGGAGACTCTATCGGTCATGCAAGGGGAAAAAAGTTGTTCAGACCACTTGGAATATCAACCAGACAGTTCAAGCCTTACAAATACCATTAAGAATCACATTAAGTGTAAATTAAAGTACCATTAATTTCAATGAGATTTCAGGACTACTGAAGGTGAGGAGATGCTCATTTTTTGCAACCTGAAAGCACCTACATTTTTAGAAACAGTGAGAGGATATTACTTTGGCACCTGGTGGCTGTGATCACCTCTCTGTGGACTGTGGAATGTCAATTAATTATGGATGCTGCCATCATGACACATTTCCTTCTCAAAAAGCTCTTCTATGTACACAATAATCACAAGGGACCAATATGCATGAATGCTGCCTTCCAATTTACTATAGTTTCATATCCTGGGAAGATACACCTTATTGCTTTCTGGGCAGAAAATCTTGTCATGGTTGAAGCAGTCTTTGGATAGAGAGGTATCCAGTGGCAATGTTGATGCTTTTTAGCAACTTCTGTACCGCGTTCTAAGAGGCTTTGGCACAATAAAGAAGGAGGCATTCAGAAGTACATACAGAGCTAATTATTTTTCACTGACTGTGCTTTTCAGAAATATTTAATACCATAAAAGAAATGCCTTCCTGCCTTTGGAATTTAAACTTATCATGACAGTGACTGTGTCATACTAGTCCAGAAACACATCCCTAGACAGAATTTCATATCAAACCCTTACAAGGCTACTCTCCTGGAAAAAAAGGAACCCCTAATTGCAACCATTTCTCTAAAAATACCTTTTAAGGGGTATCCATTGTTCACTACTTTCAAATTTCCTTCATAGTAACATGTTACAAATTATCAAAAGGTTTCTATTTCGATATTTTGTTTTCATGTGATGACAGGGCAGAAGCTGCCCTCTGGTTACCTTTCAAGGGAATTCGCCCATTCAGGCACCTTTCTTCCCCCACATTCAAGCCATGTAATCAATACCCAAGATACATCCCCAAGAACCAATTTGTGTACCTTGTATAAAATGTAACAAAGTGCTTCTATTCAGATTCATCCAAATAATGAATGACTGTGCAAATCCCAGGATCAGGCGTCAAGTATGCATGAACTCTGCAAGATCTTTGGAATTTGCAAAATATAATGGTGTATCTATAAAAAATGTGGACTTTTGTCTTCTTCTCACCTATTGCAACCCTCCATGGTGCCAAACTTGGACCAGGAGCTTCCTATCCCTCTGAAGCAGTGGTTCTCAACCTTGGGTCCCCAAGTGTTTTGGCCAACAACTCCCAGAAATCCCAGCCAGTTTACCAGCTGTTAGGATTTCTGGGAGTTGAAAGCCAAAACATCCGGGGACCCACAGGTTGAGAACCACTGCTCTGAAGCAAGTTTTTAAGGTTAACCTAAGCTCCAGGAAGAAGGAAGAGTGTCAATTCCAGCAAAAGCAGGAAGATCCAATTTGTTTTTGATGTGAAATCCAACACACGGGCACACACATTCTACATTCCTCTCCATGTGGCATTCTCTGGAGTCTAACCACAACCTATTGTGTAATTTAGATAAAGTTACCACCAGGGTGATCTCTCATTTCAGAAGATCAAGCTTCCCAAAACTCAGGCTGCTCTCTAGAATGGCCATACCTGATGCAAACAGCCAAGGACATTCAAAATACCTTCTCTCAAGCTGAAAATTTAGAGCTGTACTATGCATTCACTCATTAACATTATGCACTAATGTTGGTACTTCTTTAAAACAGTGTCTCAAGAGCACCAAATGGCTCAGAGGTAAGTTTATAACAGAACATGGTGGTCCTAGTTGTAAGGCATTGGTGGTTTATGCAGTTTACTGGTAGCACACTCAAATCAGCATTACTTTTTATACAGCCTCTAGTTTTATACCTTTTCACTGAAACTGCCTAAATTCAAGTTACAAGGGATATTTTTAGAGCTAAAGATATTTTTCACGAACTCTTGGAAGTATAATATTGTGAGAGAATGAAAAACATTAAGTGAGAGAAATCTTGGAAGGGGGTTAAAAAACCACTTTTAGGACATACATAGTTTATCTGCAATACAAAAGCCCAGTTAAATGAACTAGACATTGGGTAAAAAAATTTTACAGGTCTGAACTTGCTACAAGTTTCTTGCTTTCTGTTCGCCCTTGTCTTTTCAGATACTACATACAAATAAATGAGTCTCTCTTCTGAAATGGACTGTGTGACTCCAGCTGTGTACTGCAATTTCCTTTCAACATTCCCAATTTGTTCGAGTACTGTACTCTACCAAGTTCTTGAAATCTTAAAAGAGTTACAGATATCCCTGTTTCAGGTTAATGGCACTTACTGGAAAAAAGCCGAGTTCTGGCGTACATATATAAAGAAAGATCTTCAAACATGCTGTAGGAATCAATCTTAAGCCAACAAACTGATGCTCCAAGATGTTTAAGAGAGAATAAAGCTTCAGATTAATCAGTGTGAATCGGTTCCAATCGGTTACATCGAGCTTCTTATTTAGGCATTTTTTTCAAGTTTGCATTGATGGATCTTGTCCTATCAGACCACTTACGGTACACATGTTTTCCCATCTATTTGTTGAAGTATAACTGCACCACAGGAAGGGCATAATGGTTGTGGGTGAATAAAAAAATTGCCACAGTAACGGATTTATAACCTTTCTTTTGGGGAAAAAAACTGTTCTTATTGAAAACGTTTACCCTATAGCCATACTGTATGCCATACTTAAAAACTGAAAATGAATTATGTAGTAATTTTTAAAAATAGCTTCCTCTTATTTCAACCAGATGGATATTGTGGTGGTGTCTATAATTCAGAGATACATCTGGAAGAATCTACTGTTTAGAAGGAAATGGAGCAGCTCCAAATGGATCTAACTCTCCTGCCTGTTGCTGGCTTTGTTGTGATGCCATACTAGGCACAAGTTCTGTAAAAGGAACTGCCCCAAAATCATCTGTTAGTTTTAGTCCATCGCCAGACTGAATACTGCCAAGCAGCGAGCCCTGTCTAGGTCTGCTAGAAACGACTGTGTTGTGATCCCCACGGTTATCGCCCAGTCCTTGATGCTGAGGGTAGCGCACCAATTCTGTAGGGTGGAAAGGCTTGGCTCCAAAAGGATCGAGAAGAGCATCCTCTGTTTGCAGAGAGCTCACTCTGTCTTTGTTATCAGACAGGGCAATACTAATGTTTTCCTTGGAATCAGAGATCGTCAAGAACTCATTACTGCTCTGGGAATCCCGACGACCCGCCTTTTTATGCCTTCGGACTCTTTCTGGTGTACGGTAACTGGGCTTCAAAGTCTTCTTAGTGCTAGTTGGGGTGCCGTGATGGCGCTTTCCATTGGTTTTGGATCCATCCTGTTTCATGCGTCTCTGGCGAGAAGAGAGTTTTTGCAGATTCCGTTGTTGCTGCTTTGCTTTCTGTTGCTGCTGCTGCTGGCTTCCTGCTATCTCCTCAAATGGAATAAGCCCAAAGAGATCCTCTTTGCTCTCGTCACTTTTTGAAATAGAGGAAGGGTGGAATGGGATACATCCAAAAACATCCACAGGAGATATAGGAGATATAGGAATAGGCTGATTTTCACAACCTGAAATCAAATCATCTTGCTGAGACATTTTCCTGCCAAATGGGGCTTTGGTGAAGACATCAAACTCATCCTGATCATGTGCTGAACCTGGAAAAGCAGCTTGAGGAGAGAAATCTTGGCTATCTTTTTGTTTAGGCTCTTGAGTCTGAAGAGGAAAGAATGGAACTGCTCCAAAGACATCAAACTCTTGTTTGGGACTCACCTTGGTCATTGTACCTGGCATCTCAGACAACGTAGAGCATTGTAAAATAGGCTCCTTGGTCTCAACACATCCAGCTTCTTCGTTGTATCTACTACCAGGCACCTCCTCTACAGGCCTAATGTGACCAGAATCAGAATCAGAACTTTGCTTATCTTCATCTTCTGCCTCTTCCTCAGAATCCATGAGAAGAGGATGCTGGCCAAAGTTCTCTGGTTCGGTATAATTGTCATCCATAAAATCTCCATGCTCACCCTGCAAAACTTCTTCATCCTCCTGTTCCTCCTCTTCCTCACTGCTCTTCGGAGATGGAGGATCCGATTCAAAATCACTTTCCGATTCATCACTTCCTTTTTTTGTATGTCTTTCCACCAATTTCTTTCCAGGCTGACAGTCCTCAGCAACCTGGTTTAGCCTTTCATGTTTGGTTGGACTCTCTATCTTGCTTTCTATATTGCTGGCTGAGCTATTAATTTCACTTCCTGGAGAACCTACAAGGATGAAGAATACACAATAACTTCAGTTACTTACCATTTACTATATACACACACATAAAATTCCCCTTTGTTATACAATGGAAAGGATGGTATCTTCTTGAATGACAGTATAGCCAAACTCAGCAATAGTCAGCTGAAAGGAAACAGATTCAAATCCTTGCTGTGCAGTTACTTCTGCAAACACTGCATTATGTGATTCATATATAAAATAGTCTGCAATTTCAAAAATCATTTTAAATAGGCTTGTAAAAAAACCCATTGCGCATATAGAAATCATCTAACTGATTGAATCAAACTAAAAGTCCATGGCCTGCCACAATAGGCAGACAAATATTGCCTCTGTTTTTTTGTTTGGTTTGGTTTTTGTTTTGTTTTGTTTTTGCTTTTTTGTGTCAGGAGCAACTTGAGAAACTGCAAGTTGCCTCTGGTGTGAGAGAATTGTCTGTCTGCAAAGATGTTGTCTAGGGGATGCCCAGATGTTTTACAATCCTGTGGGAGGCTTCTCTCATGTCCCTGCATGGGAAGGTGGAGCTGATAGACAGGAGCTCATCCCGCTTGCCTCTGGTAAGCTTGCAAAGTCAGGCATGGAAACAAAATCTTTCTTGATTTCCTAGTTGTGGGAACAGCAATAGAGGATGTGCATTCCAATCTTAAATATCCAGTCTAAATATCTTCCTGAAAACCCTTCTCCCAAAAGCTGTGATTGTGATTCTGTTGACTAGTCCAACTAACCATACCCAGAGCTTGGAAAGTTAAATTTAAAAGTATTTTCTAGCACTCTTATAAAGCCCAAGAAGATAATATGTTGCTGTTACTGTCCCCTCTCTCCAGAATGCTATTACAAAAAAACAATCTGCAGTCTGCTTGGAGCAGGAAGTTGGACTAGATTCTCTCCAAAATCCCTTCCACGTCTGATTTTCCTTGGTGGACGTCTGCACGAAATGTATCTCCCATATTTGTATATGGAAGTATTATTTCTCCCAAAGTGCTTTACTCTGTTATTAAGTTTAACCCCATTTTGCTGTGAGGCACGAGTCTGTATCTCACATCATCACAATAAACATGGGGTCCCAATGTTGACATCTTTTTTTTTGTTTAAACCAGAAGTATGTCTCCTGATTTTATCCATATACCAACGAATCTGAAAACCTCTTCCGAAAACCTCCTTTGAGAATCTATTAAGCCAGTGCCCTGAACTACTCCAAGTCATTAATTCTCCATTTGTGTAAATTTAGTCTTACTTTGCATTTTTAGCCAGTGTGGAGGTACAAAAGACCCTGTCAGAGCCATCTTAAAAGTCCAAATGCACATTCCAGAACTGGCAGACCCAACACTGATGTGCTTAAATCCTTGGCTAGTGGTTTTATGGTGATGATAGACTACTGAAAAAAAGACTTTTTCATTCTCCTCATTCTGCCCCAGTGAATATATACACTTGTGTCTGTGTTTTCCTTTCCCTCCAGCCTTCCAGATACCTTTCTTGTAAGGTTTTTAAATTGTATGCCTGAGGGAAAGACCGGCTTATTACTCATCTTTGCAAACCATTCCAGGAACTTTATTCAGCTGAAGAGAGGCTAAAGATAATATTGTAATGATCACAAAAATGCAAAAATTAAACTGTTTATCAACTGTTCAAGTGAGGTACTCATACTTTTGTTTTGCTCCACTGCCCCACAAATACAGTCATACTTCCAAACATCTGCACCCACATTTGTGAGATAAACAACTGGAATGAATAGAAACATGAGGAGATTCCCATTTCAATCTGCTTCTGGTGTCAGGTTCTTCTGAGTTTAGTGTATTTGATTTTACAGTCAAATTAAAATGTGGATTTGCTCTCTTGATGTGATGTAGATTTCCCAAAGGAATAACCATAATGCATAAGTATAGGAAGCTATGTCATCTAAATCCTGCCATCGCCAACATTTACTAGGATGCTGCAATTATTTACATGGATGTGATTATTTCGTAAGATTAAAAGCTTAATCTGTGTCTACATGAGCAGCAACATTTTCTGTTCAAATATCAATTTGCAAAGAGCGGTCAGTGAAAGTATTCCTTCATTCACATACGTTGAAACTGCAAAAACATGAATTTCTATTTTAATACATTGCGGTGATCAATAATTATATAAGATGGTCCAGTTCTTCCTCATTGTAGACAACCCATTGGGGTGTTTTTCTTGGTTAAATGGAGTTCTGTTGAAAAGTCATATAGCCCCTGTAATTGTTTCTATCTTCCACACACTTTAAACATCATATTTGTTTTTGAGGTCATTTGTAAAAGTCTACAGAGACAATAGTTATTTCTATTTTAATTTCAAAAGAGCACTATATTAACCTTTTCTTATGTAGCAGATCAATACTACTGACAGAATGCTATTTCACAAATGTATCCCTCCATGTAAACACCATTAAAGCCATTTCTAAATCCAACTCAGCTTCCTCACCAATAAATCCATATTTCATTTTAAATGGTTACATTTAAAATGCTTGAGAAATAAATCTCAGGTCCACTTGTAAATTAATGCCATAATAATGTTGTAAAAAAGCGCTTTAAGATCAACATGTAAAAAAGAGATTTGATTGAAGCAATCTCCAAACTGCCGCAATGAACATTTCAAATCCAAATTTATGAAGAGCTGGAGAACTTTGTGGTATAACATCTGCTTGCAATGTACTGCACAGATTACATCACTTCTAATCATGTTTGTCTCTTGTACAAGGCTATCGTCCCGCCCTGAAATCCAATGCAGGTAGAACATCTTTAATCATAAGATCTCAATCTTCAAGGAAAAAAAATCTGTTCTGCTGTTCTTTTGCAGACATCCGATTATAAGAGGATGAATGGCTTGCAACAACTGAAGTAATTACATGCCTTCTGCTAGTTCATCATTTCAGGGGCTGGGCAAAAGCGGAGGCATAGCCATTTTAAAGCTCCTTCTGAATTGGTAACATACTGCCATCATCATTTCACAGCAATTTGCCACATGTCAGCTCCATGGATTGCTGAGACACATCAACTAAATCTGCACTAGTCTTTGGCAATAGGCAGAGCAGCAGATGTCTCACTGTGATGGATTTGGGGGCTGGTTACTGCCCTTATTTTGAGTCAGACAACACATGCAAATTGTGCATTCCCCACACCTTTATGTAAAACCTGTAACATCCATCTACAGGCAGTCCCCAAGTTACAAACATCTGATTTACAAACACCTCACAGTTAAGAACATGGCTGAGACAACAGGAAGTGAGAGAAATCTACCCCTCGGAAGGGAAATACCCTCTTGAATAAGTTATCATAGGGAAAAAGTGTCCCTTCTGAAGCTTTACGACCAAACTTCGTTTCTGTAACAAGTCACATTTTTCAAAATTCAATTCTCGCAGGAACAAAAAGTGAGGTGAAATCTTCTGAATAGGGACACAGACAGCAAAACAAACACTGCAGGGTGTTAACCTTTCCCTTTGCTATCCATAGCTACAAAAATATTTTTTAGCTGGTCACACCCTTTAAAAATGCCCCTTTTCCGACTTACAAATTCAACTTAACAACAAGCCTACATAATCTTTTTTTGTAACTCAGGGATTGCCTGTAATGGCTGCCTCTTGAATTCTGAGCTCCCTTCATTGATTAATGAATATATTCATCCTCAAGCACACCTTGCAAAAAAGTAATTTCTCTTTTGAGAAGCAATGGGAAGGAAAATGAAACGGACTACAGAGATGGTAAATACATGAGATGGAAAAATCTTTGTTATATGTAATGTAGCAGCACTCGTTGCAAAGTATTAAATATTAACCTTCCTTTAACAAAACATGGCGTGTGTGCATGTGTAACAATTTGTAACTTATAGCATATCAGAGATTTTCATGTGATAAGAGATAAAGATATCCCACTATGATAAAACAGCTACCTGCTATCTGTGAAACTTGTACAACCTTCTATTGTTCATCTAGTTATAGTAACTGAATATGTTTAGCTTGAAGAAGAGATGATTAAGGAGACATAATAGTCTAGCCATGTTTAAATATTTGAAAAGATGTCATACTGAGGAAAGAGATTGTTTTCTGCTGCTCTAAAGAAAAGGACACGAAACAATGGATTCAAGCTGCAGGAAAAGAGATCCTACCTAAACGTATGGAAGAACTCCTGACAGAAAGAGATGTTCAAAAGTGGAATATGCTACCTTGAGTGGTAGAGTCCCCTTCTCCAGAGGTTTTTAAACAGAGGCTGGATGACCATCTATTGCAGTGGTTCTCAACCTGTAGGTCCCCAGATGTTTTGGCCTTCAACTCCCAGCAATCCTAACAGCTGGTAAACTTGCTAGGATTTCTGGGAGTTGTAGGCCAAAACACCTGGAGAACCACTGATCTATTGGGAGTGTTTTAACTGTGCATTACTGCATGGAGTGGGTGGCTCTTGTGATCTTTTCCAACTCTATAATTCTGTAGGTGTTATACTTACCCAAACTATCACTGCAACTTGGTGCTCTCATTTTACTCGACAATATCTTGATCAGCATTTGTCGCTTGAGAATTTCTATAGCCCCCTCTTCCGGATGTGTATTCAAATGAAAATACAACCATCTACCAATTGTCCCTCTAACTCCAGTCTTGCATCAAGGCAGCTCTCCAGGCCTACAACCCAGAATCCCAAACCACATCTAAACATTTAGACAAACCAGATTCCCATACCATTGGCTGTAATTCAATGGGTTCTTCTTGAAACTAGTGCTAAATATAAATAGTACCATAAACATGGAGATTCTTCCCCTAAGCACCTTCCTCTAAGACAGGTATAGGCAAACTTCAGCCCTCCAGGTAGGCTGTTAGAAATATTAGGAGTTGAAGTCCATAACACCTGGAGGGCCAAATGTCCATGCCTGCACTAAGTTCTTGTCAAATTGCAAGCTACTCTACTATAGCTTAGGAGGCACTTTATTAATTACTTTTAACATTTTAGCACCACTGAAGGAAATCCTCGACGTCCACCTGCAAACAAATATTAATGGCATCCATCAAGAAGTGATATGTTTTTTTAAAAATACTCTGCCCAATTAAGAGTGGCACCTGATAGCTCACTATGAAGAATGGAAATACACCACAGAGAAGTCAATGGGATGTTTTCTAACAGAGAAGTCAATGTGATGCCAACAGTAATATTTATCTTTTAAATGTAGCCTTGGCTCCTGCTTGTTCTATATTGTTGGGTCTGTCTGAATTTGTGCAGCCTGATAATGGGAATAAGATACCGGGAGATCAGAGAACCAGCACATGTGTACCAAATCTCTCTGGATTTTTAAAGCAGCTCGAGGGGAACTGACCAAGTGGGTAAGTAGAGCAGTGCATGCTTTACTGCAAGAAGGGTCAAAACAGGCTGTGATGAGGACATTATTGAAGGGAAAAAAACCTTTCCTAAACCTTATTATATTGAAAAATTATTGAACAGTTTGCAATATCCCTTCCTTGGACAAAGTGATAGAGCATATGGTGGCCTCAGGGTTCCTGGAGGACGCTGAGTTTCTAGACACACTTCAGTCTAGCTTCAGGCCTGGTTCTGGAATGAGAGCTTTCATCTAGTCCAGTGGTTCCCAACATTTGGTCCTTCAAGTGTTTTGGACTTCTGCTCCCATAATTCCTAAAAGCTGGCAAGTACAATATCACCACAAAAGTGAAAAACAACAGATTTTCTTTCTTTTTTTAACCTGAAGGAAGACATCTCTAGATTTTCTAAAGCTTCTGGCACATCTTCTATGGTTGACTTCTGGATTCTGACCAGAGAATCACACTGCAGGATCTAGACCAGTGGTGTCCAACCTTTGCTCCTTCAGGTGTTTGGAACTCCATATCCCAGAAGCTGTTCAGTTTGTTCAATGTTCAGGAATTCTAGGAGTTGAAGTTCAGACCATCTGGAAGACCAAAGGTTGGGAACCACTGTCTTAGTCGATGACCTATTCTGGGAACTAGATTGGAAATGTGTCCTTGTTTGTTCTGTTGGCTTCTCCATAGCCTTTAATACCATCAACCATGGCATCCTTCTGGATCGTCTCTTTGGCATGGGACTTGGGGACACAGTTGTGTGGTTATTCCAGTACTTCTTCAAGGAATGGACTTAGGTCATGCCAGGCAATACTTGTTCAGCACCCTGGCCATTACTCTGTTGGATACACTTCAGAGTTGGATTTCTGTCCCCCACGCTGTTTCGTATCTACATGAAACCACTGGGAAATGTCATCCAAAGTTTTGGAATTCAGTGGGCTCAGTATATGTTGACAATAATCTTTTTGATCTCTCTTTTCCATCTAACTCCCAACAAAACTGTTTCAGCATTAAACCTGTGGCTGTTAATCAGTAATGGGAAGGATTTGGGTGAATAAAATGAAACTTAATCCAGACAAGAAAAAAGAGCTCCCAATTAGTCATAGTGTAGATCACAGGAACACAGTCTGTCCTGGACAAGGTAAATTCTTCTTGAAATCTCAGGTTTGAATCTTGGGTGTGCTCCTGGACCCTGATGTGAGCCAGGATCCTCAGGTTTCAATGGTGTCTGTGTTTGCACAATTAAACTCAGATTCAAAATGTTGTGTCCAAGCTGCTGACTGGGGATGATTACAGGGAAAATATAACCATCCTGTTGAAACAGCTTCATGGCTACCAGTTCATTTCCAGGCACAATTCAAAGAGATGGTTATGAGCATTCGAGCTTTCAACAGCTTGGGACCAGAGTATCTGGAAAACTTTATCTGCCAATACAACCTATCCTATATTTTACAATTTTTCAGATATGTCTCTCCAACATCCCTCCCCCCACCCCAACAAAGACCTTTGGTGAAAACAGAGTCTTCTTGGCATCTACTCCTAAACTGTGGCAGAGTCTTCCATGAGAGGTTTGAGTGCCCCCTCTCTGCTCTTTTTCTGCTGAGAAGGCCTTTTTATTGAGGCATATCATGGCTGCTTAAATTATTGTTTTGATACTGAATTAACTATTTCTCTCTCTGCTATTTTTCTTTATTTTCCTTCCATTTTGTGTCTCATATCTGACCTTACCTGACTGGAGGATCTGTCTTTTTTTTTAATGCAAGTCACTTTTATAACCAAACTTTTATTCTGTCTTAAACAGCAGAGCATATATATACTTCTTTCTACAGGGGACCCGTCCCTTAAGAGATCCCTGTCCATTCCATTCACACAAGATCATGCTACATGTTAAGAGCTCACAAAAAGTCTTCTGAGCTAACAGGGTTTACATAGGCCATCAAAGATGTACAAAATAGTAGGTACTAAAATCAAAATAATCAGAACTGCCTAAATGGCCAAAACTAATAGCAATTATTATTCAGTGCATGCCACACTGATGTAGAGCATGATAAAATAAAGACAAATTATAGTGAAAATTAACAGTACTGCAGAGTAAAATCCACTACTGGAAATGAATAGCTGAGAATCTCAAGACTTCAAGTATGATCAGAACTGCCTGTATGATGATGACCTTAGAATTTCCACAGTTTATAAGAGAATATGAAAAAAAGTTGCAAGTAGCAATACAGAAGCCAGTTAAGAAATGCCAACACCTTCACAAAAAAGGGACAGAAAGTCTATTAGAGATATCTAGATGACAAAAGAGCATGGAAAATAATGTTCAGTCAATTAATAGATGCTATCTAAAGGAATGTATGCAGAAGTGTATGCAATATGATACTAGCAAAGAACAAGGACAATAAAGATTTGTGCTAAACAGAATGATTGGTATAACTAAAGACATTTCCGTTTAAAACCTAACATGCTTTAAAAATGAGGACATATAGGTTATTTCAAATACAGTGAACCTTTGCAGCTAAGGTTCATTTACAAAAGCCAGTACAGTGATGCAAACTGTGTGGCTATTTCCAAGAATGTTACCAAAAAAGAAATAAAGATCAAACAAATAACATAGTTAAGAGTCTAGCAAGTTTCAATCCTCAAAAATATTAACTTGAAAGATCTTTCCCATTTTCTCTAAAAACTATCAGTTAGGTAAGGCTAGCAAGTAGCACAATTTAGTCTCTTTGTCTATTTGCTTGTTCAGGATAGTGACTATAGCAGAAAGTTAAAAATATATACAGTTTAAATGCAAATGTAACACAATTAACTTTCTAGTAAGTTTTTCTTTTAGAATTCAGTTCACTGATGGTAGATGTTAGTTATCAGGCATTAAAAATAAGGTTTTAGGTTGGGTTAGATATGCAAAGGGAATTATCATAATATTAAATAAATGACTGAATATGGTTCTTAGGAAAGTTAGACTTCAGAAAAGAAATGATGGCATTTAACCAGACCCACTTTTCCATCAAGAGATATATTACATGAAAAGAACTGATGTTACATAATGTAACTTGCCTGGGTGAGAAATGAAAGGTACAGAACCAAAGGGATCTTCGGGAGGATGGTTCTGTGGAGCAGAATGTGTCTCCACATTCTTATCTGAGGATGTTCTCCTCTCCTCGAGCCTGTCTGCAAAAATAAAAATGAAACAAAACAAAAAAGTAAAATAAAAATGGCAGCTTTTCAAGCCAATTAAAATTTTATTTGAAAGCCTCTTGAAATATCTGCTCTAAAGATTAGTTATCATAGAATTCTAACTACAAGACTCAGTCACATAAATGGGTTAAATGGGTTATGTGTATGGCATTATGTATATAAATATTTGTCAATATAACATCATCTAATCCAACAACTCAACAGGATTCAAAACCAATTCCAGAAATTGCAAGCCAGAGTGTAGCATACATATGAAGTAGCCATAAAGAACATGTCTTTATAATGAAGATGGAAAACTCAATAATATCCAAATAATCGATTTCAAGCTTCTATGATTTGGTCTAACGCAGCAAAAGTAATTGGAATAATTTAGAACTCCCAATAACTACATAGCATCTCTGAGAAAAGCTTGCAGACATTCAGGTTCTGCTCATTTCTGTCAAGATTCAGACTAGGCAAAGCTTTTTTGTGAACCAAATCACTTTTTCCACTTTGCTACAACTCTTCTCTTGGCTCTAACTTTGATCCTGCTGTTCAACCTGAAGTACAAAGTAAATGCAAGCAGTGGCGTAAATAAAGGCTTTGAAAACAGAGTACCATGTTTTTTTTCAAACTTTCCTTTAAAAAATCTAAATAATGTGTAGCATTTCAAAGTGTTTTACCATTCCGACAATCAATATTTTGTTCCAATCAAGATCACACCATCCTCCATGAGAAGAATGTTCACACAACAGCAGTTTTCTGTGCCCTCCTCCCCACTGCAACCCCCAGCAGCTCCTCCTGAGATTCCAAAGCTTCCACATGTATATGTCATCTCAGTCCAACATGCTAAATACATCCCATAGGAACAGTTCCTTGGAGGACACCATTGAACAGGTCTAGATCAACCACTGGGTTATGTCAGAGAGTTATTCACAAAAGAGGTTGAAATCAAGCAGCAGCTCCTGTTGTGGAACAGAAAGAACCATTTCCACCGATTGCTCCTTTCCTCTTTAGTACATGTATCACCCCCCCCCCCAACACACACACACTGTTACAGAATTCCCTGAATCCTTCAGAACAGCTTTTCAATTGCACAAAAAGAAGAACCCACCAAAATCACCTCCCTTTACTTTCCTCCAGGAGATGTATCATACTGTGCTATTTGAGAGAAGCCAGGATCCAATTTATACCAAGTCTATGCTTTCTTTTTATAGTTGCCACAATTGATCAGAGAAAGCGAGCTTGCATAAGAATCTACAAAAACTATTTTGTACTTGAAAAACAAATACTGAATGTTAAATAGAAACTGCACCCAGGGATAAACAAAGACAGCAGAATGTAAATATTTTAATTAGCATATAAACTGTTAAGTAACAATACAATTTAGGTCGCAGGTCTTTTTTAAACACAGTGCATGAAAAATATGCCTTACGCAAGTTTTTAAATGAGTAAACAGCTTGGCTGCATTTTTAAAAAAACAAGACAATTATTAACTTTTCTTAGCAGTTTTTTCCTTCTTCTAAAAGAAAGAAAGGAAGAAAAAACATAATCAAGTTATGTTCAATGCAGCAAAGTTTCTGTTATATATTAAAAGGAAAGTGCTTTAGAAAAGTATGATGTCTGTAGCATCATTCTAAGAGTAAAGAGCACAACTTACAAACAAGGCTATTTAATCAACATATGCTGCATGAATTTAATACATACTTAAATAATACAAAAACAGCTTTGTCTTTGCTAAAAACAAAAACTTTTGTAGATGTTCATATTTTATAGATCCAAACACCACAAAATTAACAGGAGAAAATATTGTTGTTTTATCTTAGGCGCTCTGAGTAAAATGTCACCAACAAAAAGGATTACAGAAGGTAGTCTGAATAGTGAAAGTTTTCACAATGAAAAAAATGTTTATGATGCTAGGATGATGGATGAAGTTTTCAGACTCATGTTGTCTTCAGCACAAGGTGAAAGGAAGAATATTTATTCAATTGGTATATCAGTCAACATATCCATCAAACTGCAATGAAGAATGCAGATATCTTTTTTCTTTTCCTTAGATCACTAAGCAAAACAGAAGCAGGCAAGTAGGAACTGGGGTTCTCCCAACTCATGGACAAAGTTCACAACTTTGCCACTTGACGACAGGTTAGTCTGAGTGTTCTTCCAGAACTATCCCAAATTATATTTGTAGATCTGTATTTTAGTACAATTACTAGCAGAGCAGAACACAATAGTTAAACAATGACTGAAATACAGTTTTTAGGGATAATTTCATATTAACACACATATGGCTCAACATATCAAGGAATTTTGTAGAAACAAGAAATCTTTTTGATATTGGTGTCTACCAGATGCAATTTTCTTTTCCATCTTTCTCCATCTCCCTAACACAGTAGCTGTTATGTACAGCCCGGGGAACCTCACAGAAAACATGTTTAAAATGACATAGTAAACCTGTTCAAGAGAAGCTATAAAACCAGTACAAAAGTACAAGTGCAAAGTCCTGCTTTACCATCCCACACTTTTGTAGCTTTTTAATAAGTGACCAGCCCTTCTGAGGTCTCTCTTTTGCCCCCTTGCTCTTTTGTAGAAAATTAACTTCCTCTTAGATCCATATAGCATTAAACACAAAAAAGCAGTTAATCAAGGAGTTTAAAAACACACAGTTTTAGGTTTCTAACACAAGCTCAATTCCTCATACAAAACCAGCAAGGATATCTTCCGAAATCATTTATCAAATCATTTTTAAAAAGCATTGAAAACAATTTCCTGAATTTCTGAAATGCAACTTTTCAGAAAAGGAAGGCTATAAGTTGCTCAGTGAGACTTGTGTTGCTCCCTAGACAATGTTGCACAAAAACAGCCAGGTGATGAATGTAGTGAGTTCCAGTTCAACAGGGCCAGAAAGTTATCCTGCTAGATCAAGTTTAGCTAAATATTATTGTAAGACTGGGATCTACCAACCATGCCACTTCATGTTGCTTTAATTCAGTAACATTTGGTAAAGAGTATACAAAATATCATATATTGAACATTGTCAGTTGGTGAAATACAGCATAGTCAAGTGAAGTTGTAAGATTACAGAACTTTCCAAATTTGTGTAACATTTGAAGTATCAGTAGTATATTCACAGTTCATCTCAATTAAAATCTGAAAGACCTCACAATCAAGTTTAGTACTACATCAAGTTTAGTACTACATTCAGGACTCCATCCTGTTCCATGTCTAGTACTTTAGTCCAGAATTCATTTTTATGAAAACTGCATATTAAAAAAAATACAAGCAGAAGAGCAAGTGAATTGAAGTAAACACACTGGCATTTTGACTTGAAGAAAGTTTATTCAACTATGTTGTGTCTGAACAATAAAGCAGCCTTTAACATTAAGCCACTGAAAGACATTACAGAACATTAACATAATGTACTAGTTTATTTCCCCTCTTTCAGGCATTTTCAAAAGGCATTCCAGAATCACAGAATCTCCTGTTCTGGTGTGCAAGAGAACAAAACTGTAAAGTGAAGTAATGAAAACAGTTGAGTGGTGCTTTCTATTGTTAAATATCCTGTTTCTTCTTTTTGCACTGGACACTCAAGAAATCCAAATATTCAAGAGATAACCTTGGTTTTACAAGTACTAAACAATTAGGTTCCTATTGCACACACTGTTGTGACAGAAGGACAAGATACACAGCTGGTCTACTTCTGCCCTCAAATGCTCAGAAAGAGTTCTTTCTACAACAGACTGTGGGGCCCTTGAACAGAACAGTCTTTGGCACTGCTGGCTGCACCTAAAAGAGCTCTTATTTACTGTGAAGCAAAATAAGCCTTCAAGTGTCCCTTACTTGATCTCAGGAGGTCAAACTCCCTGTCCAACAGCTCCTCCTCTGTTAGCTTGGAGAAATTGTCTTCTCCAAACGGATTCCAGCCAGACATATCAGGTGGGTTACTGATGTTCTGTTTTTGATAACTGGAAACAGACTCTGCATCAGAGGAAGTTGATCTGTAAAAATTGAGAAACCTAATGTGATCAACATAATTTCAAAAACATTAAACAAATAACACTGCTCATGACACAGACAGATACAGTTAATTTTTTATGTTTCTGAGGACGCAAGAGAAGTGGACTTTTATTTAAATGCAACAATTACTGACAATAATTGCAACAATGTTAATGAGGCCAATATTTTATGTATGTTATTTCCCTCTGATCTCACCATGTAATCCCACTTCCATCCATCATATAAAGTGTGTAGTGTACGTTCATTCTATGAATATCTAAGTTCTCTATACAGGAAATGTGCTATCTTCAAAGTACTTTTTGAAGTTTTTGCTACAATTATTAACTGGATTTTTCTATTTAAAAAATCAGAGTAACATTGAGAAGTAGACAGGTTAAGCACAATCATAAAACATGTCTCTGCAGTTGTTACTAACATAAATTGAAGATGCTTACCTATTTGTAGAATAATGGGTGTCCAGAGCTGCCCCAACATGAGCTGGAAATGACTTTGAATGGGAGATTAAGGCTGGTGAGAACTCCTGAGGAGAAGCAAGAAATTCAGGGGAATGCTTAGGTGGTGGCAACTGCTTCGCAAAGACCTGTTGCTGTAGAAGAGCTTGTTGGTACTGCTGCATCTTGGAAAAGAAAAGGGGGGAAACTGTCAACCTTGCAACGTTGTACCTCATATAATCCCCTTCCCTAAGAATAAAATTTGGAAAATTGGACCTCTTAACTACTACAGCAGAACTCAGTTCAAGCAGCATCATAGATGTGAATATCATTACTAACAAACAAAACAAATGATCACTCAGCAATGTAGGTTGGCTGGGAGAGTAATAATAATAACAACAACTACTACTACTACTACTACTACTACTTTATAGACCACCTTCTCTCCCCAAGGGGACTCAGGGCAGTTTACACACAAAAAAGGCAAACATTGAATGCCCTACGCAAAATACAAAAATCTCAAAAATAATACAAAATAATAACCATGAGCTTATGACAAAAGAGACATTAACATCAAAATGAAAAACAGAATACAAATAACCAAATAAACATAATTATACTGATAACATAATTAACCATTAAAGCATAAACCCTGAGAGAACAATTAAAATACATAAAAATGGCAATCATAGTTATATTACCTCAAGCATCTGAAATGGGGAGAATGAGCAGGAAAGTTATGTTTGTGTTATTAATATATAGGCCCTTTATTGGCCTCTGAAGGTACAGAGTACTGAACTAAGTGGGTCTTTGAGCTGATCTAGCATGGCTCTTTTTATATCCTTAAACTATACAAGTCACTACTCCTAATTTTTTCTCTGGGATTCATGCTGAATTAATAAATATTCAGGGAGTAAATGCTAGTGTTAGTGAAAGTACTTACTTTCATATTTAGTATAACATACAATCAATGGTGTAATCTCTGGGTTTTAAAAAAATTAATTATGCCCCACTTCTTAATGGTTCAGGTCCAGGCTATTTGTCTAACCACATCTCCCGATACAAGCCATCCCGTGCACAGCAGTCAATAGAGGAGGCTCCGCTCTCAGTCCCACCCCCGTCACAAGCACAGTTGGTGGGAATGAGAGAGGGGGCCTTCTCTGTGATCACTCCCTGTCTCTAAAACTTCCTCCTTAATGAAATAAAAATGGCCCCACCCTCCTCTCCTTCAAAAACAATCCCTAGAAAATACACTTATGCACTTTAACGTATGGAGAGGAGGACTAGGACACTTTAAATTCCATTGGAATGCTGGCTAGCTCATTTGAACTCAATTGCTGCTATGGTACATGAGAAAAAACAAATCATCATAGCCAGAGGACTAATAGTCCTCTCCCCCAAGAGGTATGCTATTAACTTAAGCAAAGATGCATTACTGAAGTTTTTAAAAGCTAGGTTATTATTTATTTCATTCTAAACCCTTGAAACATTTTGCTTAATTTATTTTTCAGGATTACAGAACTATATCTTTATAATTAAATAATGCATAAGGTAGAAACTTACTACTTGCAGTCACTTTATAATTTGAAAGCTATTTAGTTTTTCATAATCAAAAACAGATACCAAAATTAGCATAATATGTCTCATTAATCCAAGAAAAAACTCCATTTAACAATCAACATGTTTATCCATCCAGATCACATTTTATTTACACACTATTCGGTCTGCTCCTCCCTCAATGTTATGCTGTAGAAAGTACCAGTACAGTTCTATAAAAATGAAGTAGTAATTCAAATCAAGCTAATAACATAGATCAAAAATATAATCAAGCAATTTAACACAGTCAATTTTGCAGATTAGCCACTTTGAGTCTCTGTGTGGAGAGAAGAAGCGGGATATAAATAAAAATAACATAACAATGATTATCCATTATCTGTCTAGTCATCTTCATCAGTTAAACACACTTAAGCAGAAACATTTTGGGATCAAAGTCAACTTACCATGGCGGGATATGGGGATGAGGCAGGTTGCTGCTGGTACACAGAGCGCATCAAAAGCTGCTGTTGAATCATGTGTTGCTGCATTGTTTGCTGATACTGTATTTAAAAAGGGAAAGCTTTTAATAAATCATGAGTATCGCCTAATCAACTAGAATGCCAATTAAAATATACATTTCTAAGATCTTAAAAAGTTAAAAGACTCAAAATATTTTGAGGTAATTGTTTAGTCTTCTATATAGTAGAAGGGAGTAAAGACAATCCTGTTGTCTTCTCCAAAATAAAAATAGTAATAAACAAGAATTTCTGATCAAGTTTTTCCTACATCATTCAGAAAAGTATGTCACAAATATCAGACAGAACTATTATGTTTTCCCCTTCTTAATGAACGTCTAATGGTAAGAAAGAGATGGAAGATGAGGTGAACATACAAAAGCCATATAGAGATGATGATGGCAAATAGGCCCCTCTTTATGACTAAAACAAGGTAAATATTAATAATAATCATCATCATCATCATCATCATCTTTATTTGTACCCCGCTACCATCTCCCCAAGGGACTCGGTGCGGCTTACATGAGGCCAAGCCCAAAATACATCAAACAAAACATCAATAAACACAACATCAATAAAAACAAACAATAAAATACAAATCATATAAATCACATGAACAAAAATAATAAATAATCAATAGTGACATATAAACATTTTAAAAATGGACGGGCCAAATGTAATAGATTAAAATTGAAAATATGCTGACATGAACAAAGTAAAATATCACTGGACTAGGATTTTTCAGAGAGAAATGAGGGAACGCAGTCAATCCTAAATCAGTATTAAAGTGCATTATGAGGGCATATTGCTGAGGATTCTCCTTATTCTGGGAAGGCACACTGGAACAACCACGTTTTCAGGCTCCTCCTAAAGACTGCCAATGTTGGGGCATGTCTAATGTCTCTGGGAAGTGAGTTGAGGGGCCACCACCGAGAAGGCCCTCTCCCTCGTCCCCACCAATCGCACCTGCGAAGGAGGTGGGAGTGTGAGCAGGGCATCTCCAGATGATCAAAGAGATCGTATGGGTTCGTACACAGAAATGCAGTCACGTAGGTAGGCGGGTCCCAAACTGTTCAGGGCTTTGTAGGTAAGAACCTGCACCTTGAATTGGGACCAGAAAATGAACGGCAGCCGTGGAGCTCCTTAAACAGGAGGGTTGACCACTCTCTGGCAGAAGAAGGTAGAAGCCTTCTTTGGAAGTTAACCCAAATATGCTATAGAAAAGTGTATTTTTGGCAGAATAAGCAAAACACATCAACTGATTATTAACAGCCCATATTTCTACATTTTATAAGTAATAGAAAAGGTAACTTTTAAAAAACCACTGGCTCACACCAAAATGTACCTGAACCTGTTGCACATATGCATCTTGAAGTAATTGCTGTTGCTGCTGGTGATGTAAGTGATGCAACTGCTGAAGTCTCCAGTCACCTTGCTGTAGTTGTTGGAGCACTCTGTTCTGCTGTGAAGGTGGATTAGCACCCTGGGACATCATGCTCTGTTGGCTACTTCCAGGTTTTGAGGTTCCTGTGATATTTTCAAAGCATATTTGCTACTTAGTGCAATTCCTCTTGGAGGCTCAATTGACTTCATTCCAACATTAAGTCAAAATACGGCCTTTTGTCAGCGCTTGTGCATGCTTTCTAAAAGCAGTTCATGTACATGGTTTTAACAATTTTTCACTTGTTATGATTTCATTAATTCCATTAATTACTCAATATATTTTCAGACTTTTAAAGAAAAGGATAACTGTTTAAATCTATTGTATGCCACCCATCCTCAGATAAGTATACGTAGTCTGTCACTCTACAATTAAACCTTATATTCTGACAATACTTGAGTTGGAAGCAAACCACATAATAGCATGGGAGGACCTTGAGCACCCCACAACACTTCTGAGCAGAATTTTTGGAGCATAGGTAAGTGACACTATGGGCACTGAATCTGAGGATAACGGAGTCATTCAGTACATGCTTCTAATTCAGTAATTGAAGAGGGCAGCTTTTTTTAGTCCACTCCTATTAATATAAAGTTACCTTTCTGCCCATTGTTGAGATCACCAGGAACTGGCACTTTGACTGGTGTTGCTGAGCTCTGGATTGCTAAAACACTAGAAGTGGCAGTGCTTGTATTGGCCTTTGGTCTTTGTCGTGGTGCTATTGAGGTTTCTGTTGGTCCAATGGAATCTGTTATTCTAGAATTAGAGAAAAGTGAGTCGTATATGCACTTCGGAAAATAATAGAAACGACTGCTCTTAACTGGCTGCCATGAATTCCTAGGAATTTTATTCAGGATAGTAAAGGGGTTCTCAGAAGACAGATGAAGGGTTCAATCCCTTTTCTGGCAGTCAACTACACTTTTATGCTAGAAAGGGACAGAGCACCCAACCCCCTCTCATCAGCATCCATCTATATTTCTATCCCAGACATGGAGAGAAATTCTCTCTTCCTTATCTAAAAACCATGCAGACCACTGATGAAACCATAGTGTACTGCAGCCAATCTTCAGGTTTCTGGCATTTCTCTCAGGTAAACTACAATTTTACAATTAACAATCTAATTACAAGAATGTGTCATATATTAGCAATTCAAATCATGAATAAATAATATATAGATCTAAGTTTACTTGTCTGACATCTGGCAAAAAAAATAGACAAAGTACTCTATTCTCATTTACTCTTAGGAATAAAAATAGAGATGGAAAGTACTACAAAGTAACTTTGTGGCTCTTCAAAATAATGTAACAATTGACAACATCTGTTCTTATTTAGTAAAAGAAGATTTGTTAACTCATTATTTCAAACTAAATTCTTGGAGATGTCATTGTGGAAGATTTGCGGCTTTCTGAATTTTCAAAGTGATTTAAAAATAATCAAAAGCATTAAGAACCCTAACACTTTAGTAATACTACATAGTGACATCTCATTATCAACAAACACCAAGTTATATTTTTGGAAATAACAACCAACCACAATGCATTATTTTGTGGTGGGAGGGATAACAATCCAGACCCTGGATAAAAAGTGAGTATTTTTTCAAGCCAATAATTTAAATTAGGCAGCATAAATAGAAATTGTTAACTCATTTTTTCTTATATTTTTCATAAAGCAAACAACCACAAGAGGGAGCTAGTTCAACATTCTTTCCAAAGACAATAGGATTAAACATCTTTAATGTGCCATTCAAGACATGTTTATCATATTAGTTAAAGTTACTGAGTACACAAATGTACAGCCATGTGAACATAACACTGTTATGCTTTCATGAAAGTAAGCAAGTGTACAAGAAATAAATGAATAGCAGGTTGTTTTAATTAAGAATTCAATTGCATATTCTTGACTTTATAGAACTATGGAATAGCTTGTGCAAGCTTTGGCCAACAATATCTATCAAAGATGTGCACATCAATTCAATTAAGAGATTTTGCTCTACTTTTAGAGTGGGGAACTAGGTTTATCTAGTTATTGTTTCGTTCTGTCATTCTAAAATGGCACATTTTGTCTTTATTTTCCTTTAGCTGGAAGTTTCCCTCTTTTTCCAAAATATATATATAAGAATTCAACTACATGCTATTTATCTTCTATTTTTTTACTTTCTATTTAAAACTTATGATTTTGGCATTATCACATTTAAAAAATTAACAATTAAAAGGTCAGCATTTAAATTGTACAATCAAGTTCTAGTTCTTGGCATCTCAATGAAACTAGATGTTCATAAAGTTATTTAACTCACCTAGCTTTGATTTGGCTTTTCCTGGCAGCAGCCTCGCTAGCTGTCAAGGGCTCAGGAAGTGCTGAAGGGATAGGAGAGTTCTAGCAAAAACAAATTATTTTGTGTTATTTTTTGGAAGTAAAATAAAAGACTAATAAGAAAGGCAAATAACAAATTGGAAACTCAAAATCAAAACATTAGTCACAATGTGGCCCAAACAACATCATTGACCCACAAGAAGAAAGTATCAGCAGACCGAGAACCTGAAGTGCACAAACATCCAAATGAATGCCTTTCATGTTCAGACACCATGAATTTTCAGAGCAACATTGATCCAGAGAGGTTTTCCACTGCTTCTCTTTGTGGCTGTAAGAACATGATCACAAAGTGGGTTTCTGAGGCAGGGCAGACCACTGCACCACATTGGCTCTTCTTCAAAGACTAGGCCTATCCCATGAAGCTTATTATGCAGACTACTGGCTATTTCAAAAGTGATGATCTAAGGCAGTGGTTCTTAACCTGTGGGTCCGTAGGTGTTTTGACCTACAACTCCAAAAACCTCAGCCAGTTTACCAGCTGTTAGGATTTCTGGGAGTTTAAGGCCAAACCATCTGGGGACTCACAGGTTGAGACCCACTGATCTAAGGGCAGAAGTTTTATACCTAGTACTATTTCTTCAATATGAGGGGCACTGCCACCACTATCCAGAACAAAAGACTTGTAAAGGCAGGCAAATGAAGACATAGAAAGAGTGTGTTAAAAAGAATTGGTTGTTTTTAAAAGGTCAAACATTAACTGCCATTCTTTTAACCACCCTGAAAAACATTTACTGTAAACATTCAAAAGCTTTGCAACTTACATTAATGTTTGATAATGGACAGTCCTTTTTGGCAAGTTTAAAGGCAAAATAAGATACTTGAAAGATATCGGGTCTCCGTTCTTGATCTGGTTCAAGCATGTATCCTGTGGATTACATCAAATTAAGCTTCTAATAAGAATCTGGAAGTTGAAACTTTAAATAAAAATACAAGTTAAAATGAATTATTCAAATTTTTGTTGTGTGTGAAATCATTGTTTCTATATTTGATAGAGAAGGCAGGTACTAGTTAGGGTGAGATATTTAATTTTTCTTGGTTGTTACTACTTGGACTACTTCTATATACACCCCTGAGCTGTGTTAGTAGATGGAAAGCTTTGTATCAATTTCATATGGCAATGAAACCACAACTCTATCGACTGTCATTCCTTATACTAAGACCAACAAAGCATAGCTAAAGTTGAATATTTTGTAAAATGCATAGTACTTCAGCACCTTAACTCAGTTTCCACTACCTTTTAAAACCTATTCAAAATGCCTAGCTTTCTAGCAGATTGGTAGCCAGTGCAGATTCTTGAACACAGATTTTTATCATACATGTTGTACAACAGTGCTGCTCAAAGTGGTGCTCCCTGGACAAGTGTTAGTCCACATGCCAACAGCCGGTAGTCTACAAAGAGCTTCCAGGAAGGAAAGAAAGAAAGAACGAACTGCATAGTAGGAAAAATAACTTGGAAACCCCCATATAAGAAGCACTGTGGGACGGCACTCCAGTTAGTAACCAAATCACTTGGAACCTGTGGCTTTAAAGGCATTAAAGCCAGACTCACAAAGGAATGCAATGAACTACCAGAGTTTGAAGGTTTCCTAAATATGGATCATATTGGTCAGGCTATCCTTGTCTATAAAGGGGAATACTTGGCTTACATGACTGAACTGGGAGGCATTCCAATTCACTGTTGGGCCCTCAGTAACAGATCAAACATCAGCCATAACCTGTAACCAGAGGACCTTCTCTCTGTCCCACAACTTGCTCAAGTGTGTTTGGTGGGAACACAGAAGAGGGCCTTTTTTGTGGCGGCCTTCCAAAGGCAGGTCAAGACCTTTATCTGCTTGCCGGCATTTAGAAAAGGATTAAGGGGCACACTGCTGGAGAGGTTGTGGGTGGGATTTTGGGAGGATTATGTGTTTAAAAATGCATTTAATTGTATGTATTGTGTATTAATTGTATTTTTAACCAGATACACAATACTATTTAATTGTTTTTAAAATGTTTGTATTCACTTTGTTTTAAATTGATCAAAGTATGTGATTGTTAGCAGCCTTGAGTCCCCTCAAGGAGAAAGAGAGGGTATAAATATAGTAATAATAAATAAAATAAACCAGCTTCTTCAAAGGGAAAGCAAAACTAGCCCCAAACTGGTAACTCACCTAATTCTCAGACCCAGGAATCACCCACAAATTGTTACTCCCTTTTATCAGGGCTGACCCTCATGCAACCCAGTACTACATAGAAATACCAACTTAGTTCATGCACAACCTCATTGATTCATATGTAATGAAGAAAAAACAGCTGAGCATCACCAACCTACTCATAGGACCTCACTCCAAATCCCCTTTCAGCATCCAGACATTTTCTATAGATATTACCTAGTAGTACTAAAGATTAGATGATTCAACTGAGGTATCTCACAATAGAAAAGAACAATGCTGTTCTTTCGCAGCTGTTCCGAATATGAGTGGAATGGAAGAAATTGCATTGCTCCCTAAATGTTTTCAATTTCAACTCCTAGAAACTGCAGCTACTGTGGCCAGTGATAACTGGGAAAACTATATTCCAAAATGCCTGAAGAGGCCAAAGTTTGTCATCTCAACCTCACCATCTTAAGAGAAAGTTAAGCTTCAAAGCTGTTTCAGATACTTACTTATCAAACAGTGTATACCATGGGAGTAACGGGAATTATCTGGGATGGTAAAGCTTCCATCGCAAATGGCAACCTGACTCTCACCAAAGGGAAGTGTGAAGAAACAAAGCTTATATAGCAAGCAACCAAGGGCCTATGAAATGAAATATATTGTCAGCAAGAAATATATTGATATCCATATTAAATCAAAAGTATTTGAATATGCAAACAATTCATAAAGTATTTACAAATCACAAAGGTTTCAACCATTTTCATAGTTTTCAAGTTAATAAAACCATTAAAAAAATTTTTTGTTAATCTCATTTCATGCTTGTTAACAGTGACGTTGATGAACTTCAACCAGTTAAGCTTACTTTTTTGAACAACAAATATGCAACTGAATCAATAATAGAGTGCTTTCATCTACACTATGCTACAAAATATTGGATTGTGCCCAAATATGCACTTTCCTAAATTGAGTTACTGGAACAAGGTGAAATGTCTAAATAAGTGAGCATTGTTCTTTATCAAGTGAATTAAGTTATTTTACACAGTATTTAGCTGAATTAAGTCATATCTTTTTTACTCATAGAGACTTCCCTAATAACCTGGCTTGAATCCAGACTGTCATACTTATGTAAACCACTGAAATAGATGTGATAAACTCCACAAAATAGAACAGGTATTTGGATCCAATTACATGTGTCAACTTCTCCAATATACTTGAGTTACAAAAATCTTTTTTGTAATGCTATCTAGAGAAAAATTAACTCATTTCCCTTACCCAGATATCTGCCTTGGTAGTAACTGGCTTTCCTCCATAAAGGTTAATCATTTCAGGAGCTCTGTATGATAAAGTAGTATACCTAAAAAGTAAATAAATGGAACAGATCAAATGTAAGGACAAAAAAGAGTAACTAACTTTAGGTAACCAAAACAGAATATAAGTACTACAATACAAACGACACAATATGAAGATTATATCCTCAGAGAATCATATCCTCAGCAAATGTAATAAAATTATGGTCCTGTACAAAACAACCAAAGGAAAACTGTCCTATCTTCTGTAACTAAAATCTCTTTAGACCTAAAGTAAATTTTGGTTCAGCAGTTGATATTTTGTGTACGCTGAACGCTATTACATCTTCTCCAAATAAACTATCTCCTTTAGTTAAATGTTATCAATATAATGCAGACAATGTTTCAATTTGCCATGTGGATGTGGGCACACTCAGTGGTAACTATTTCGGTTGGAGACATTAGAACATATTTATTTTGTATTAGAAAAATAATAGAGAGACATAGATAAGGTCCCAGTTTTAAATCATATCTTTGCAACTTAGAATGGAACTAATAATCAACAGGGTTGAGTCTTGTGTAATTTTACTGCTATCAAAGACTTATACTATTAGTCAGAAGATCTCATTGTTTCGGCTATACGAATGTTCGTTTTGCTGATCAGATTCAAGAAAATAATATTTTTTGCCATATGGCCAGCTTACATTAACATACATGTCTATATCATGCTCACACCACAAAAAGACCCCCCTTAAACCTTTTTCTTTTCTTTTTTCTCCTTTCTCTTTCCTTATATTATATTCTAAAAATTAAAAAAATGCATTATAATACTCATTGCATTTCTATACAATCTTTTCACTAAATCTAAGCTCAATCATTTAAAAAAAGGGAAAACAAACAAAAAACCAAATTAAACAATAACACCATCAAAATAATTACCATGTGCTTCTAAGAATATTACCAAGAATGGGCAGTTACAATGAATAATGGGGCCAGATTTTATCCCTATAGCCCTGCCACAGGCTGTACCACCTCAAAATTGGCTGAATATAAATACTAAGAGACAAAAAGTATAATTGCAATTTTGTTTACAGACTGGGAGTGAGTGGGAAGATACCAGTGGCTCCCCTAATTCTAGAGAAGGATGTCCAGTATGAGCTGGGATGGTGAAAAAGACTTTAGGGCTACATGCAGCCCACAGATCAAGTTTTGCTCAGAACTGTTATTACGCAGAGAATTCCAAGACTATTAAAACATTTGCTACTTACTTTTTAATTTCCTCTTCAACTACATTGACTCCATCTTTCTGAGGATTAAGGAATTTATTAGTGGCACTTCCAAAATCACACAGGACATAGTTTCCACTATCACTCAACAAAATATTCTCAACCTAAAAGAAAACAAAAGAAAAATAAAAACACATATATACACCTTGATAATATGTCTAGTTTTCAAAGAAAGTTACCATTCACGAACTTTGAGAAATGTGGTTTTAAGCATCCACACTTCAATAACACTAAGGTCTAAGCTTAATTACTATTCTCAAAAAAGTGCATACATTGTAAATAAAGGAATGTGTGTATCAATATAAACTTTACTGTCCATGACTAAAAGCTCTATACTGATCAAGTAAACAAGATGAACTATACATGCTATGCTAACATATTCTGGACACAAAGCGGTACCATAATTTTAAGTAAATCTTTTCTCATTAAAATATATTAAAAGTAATGGTACAATAAACAACTCAAAACCAGAGGTTATAGTTCAGTAGTGAGCAACAATTGAGGATTCAATGGGATAGACTATTCAGATTAGCTGTCTTATGTGCAACACAAGCTGTCTCCATGGCAAAGGGAAGAGAAAGGAGGGCACTCTCCTGGGTGAAGAGCGCCCTCATTTCTCTTCCCATCACTTCTGCCACTTCTGAATCACATCCCCCCCATCCCTGATGAACCCAGTAAATGGCAGCACCAGAGATCCCCTGGGCTTGAGAGCTATGGAGACAAGAGACACAGACAGCTGTGTGTATTTTAACATTGTGCTACTCAAGCATAACATAGAATCTCAGTAAATAAAACTGTTTTAGAGGCAGAGCAACATCTATGTAAGCTATTATGAATCCACATATCTGAAATCTGAACTAGTGGGAATTTCCATACATTCTGAAGGATAGTATCATGTATACTGTATAATTATTATTTAACCTGGGAGTTTCCAGAATATGAAGTCACTGCAGACAGGCTATTTTTACACAGCAATAGCCACAGCTGGCAAACTAACCACACCAGCGGCCACTGACATGCCACAAGTCCATAATAAAAAGTGCAATGAACCACTGAGATCATTTGTTCTCTAAGTAACAATGTTGGATCATGAGCTTCAAACGGTATTCCTGCTTCCAAACTAAACCAGAACACCAGCTTCACAGATCAGGGAATCACCCACTCACACTTCCTCTTTCTTTAACACTCAGCTTCATTAAACTGGGCTTCATCCCTCCTATTACTAAGTCCAGGCAGTTCAAGTTCTGCAAAGCCTCATTAGACTAAGATAAAACTGGCAACCATTGCTACACTCCTCACTGTACTTTCAAATATATAAGCATATCATTAGACCAAGCACAGGCTTCCCCATACAACGTTCTGAAAGTCAGAGGAATATATTATGATCACTGTTCAACTATGACTCCCCCAGAGCTCTATTCAGCAATTGACCATAGTCAAAAATATCAATGCCACTACTGTGCTTCTCTTCTCTTTTCCTTAGAGAAAGACAACATCCAAAAATTAACAGCTAATCTGGAACCCAGGGCCAGGTGAAACATGTCCATTCAGTAGGCATATGATCTTACTTGTGTCCAGTCATTGTTACTGGGGTACTTATGCTGCTTGCATTCTACTTAAGCAGCTCTGTTTTTTGGGTCTTTAACAGGAAAGGATGCTTGGAAGTGAGTGTCAACAAGTAATGGCTTCTTCACCATCACAGGAATTTCTTTTTTGTCAATTTAATACATTCTTTTAAAGAGATAGTTGTAATAATAATGCAACCTTCTAATACTTAAGGAAAAAATCAAAGAGAAAATGTTAATTCATAGAATAGTAAGGAATGCATTCAAAACATTTTCTCTCACCTTCAAATCTCTATGAACAATGGGAGTTTTGCATTGATGCAGCCTAGCAACAGCTTCACAGGTATCACAAAATATCCTCAGCACTTCTGGCTCAGTAAAGCCTGTCTGCAATCTCTGGTTCATTTGATTCACTACCTGTCCCGCTACAAAAGAAGTGTAAAACAATACAATAATGCTTTAAAGAATTTTGAACAAGGTGGACATAACAGAAGTCTCTGTTTACATAAATACCAGTTAATCAAACTTCTATAAATGTTTTTAATATTCCTGACCAATTAGCAGCACTGTGTTCAAGGAAATGCATTTAAGAAAGGAAAAGCATGATATAAAATAATCAATCATGGGAACGAGCACGCATGAGTAGGTAGTGTGGCTTATAAATGGTGTAACAAGAAAACTGAAAGCATTCTGCAAAATAAAGTTTTCTGTCCATGTCTTCTGCAGTTAAATTACACTTATGAAATTAATTCACAAAGGGCTATTCACATCCATATGCTGAAACAGAACCAGAGAAATAACAAATCTTAAAATTAGCAAATTAATTATTGCATTACTTTTCATAGATTATAGTTTATTTCATGCATCTAATTAAATGGATTACAGGACACAAAATGCATGCTGGTTTTGGTATAACCATGAAGAAGCTATTGTCAACAAATACCAGTCCAATAACAGATTTTGCCAGTTAATTGAAGAGTAAACAAAGAGACTTGTGGTAAAAAAAAATCAACAAAAGCTAAACTGCACATATTTCAGTGAAGAAATCTGAACACATGATGAACTAGAGTGACTGATGTGAAACAAGATTAATTAATTTATTATTTACAGCATTTATATGCCATTTTTCTCACCCCTAGGGGGACTCAAAGCATTCATTACATTACTGACTTGGAGTAACTTTGATATTGCAACCATTTCACAAAATACAGTAATCCTAACTACCAGGGGTCTCAGTCTGGCAAAATAAACATCTCTCAATGCATCAGTGAGAACCAATGACAATCACCTCAGGTTCTACGTGCTAAATAGTAAGGGAATAACAAGTAATGGGGCCTCCAAATACGTTATCCTATAGCATTTTCAAAACTGCCAGAGGTAGGGTCCCAGCCACATTGAGTTGTGTGCAATCTAAAATTCCATACAAGAGAAGCAGTGGAAGAGGGAAGTGGAGGAAGCAGAAACAGTAAGAAAAACATACAGGCATCAACTTGCTTGTAGGTGAAGTGTTGAACACATTATAATACATGCATTAAAACAATTTGGGTTTGTGAAGTCAAATGTAATGTTCCATTTTAAAATAAAGTTTAAGATAAACCTCAGATTTAAACTATGTCCCAAATGACCTTAAATTGAAACAATGAACTGTGAAACTGAAGCATAGGTCTGGAAAGCAATGAGGGCATCTATCAGTTTCAGAGCAAGAATCCATTATTTCTGTCCAATTAATCATCAACAGAACTTTGTAATGCTTAGTTAGCAGCAGGATGTCAATATAAAATATTTCTTTATTGTACACTAAGTCATGGGTAGCCAACTTTTCAATGTCTTCAATATTAGTTCTTCCAACTGTTTCTGTACAACCAGTTAAAGACACAAGTGCTGTCACCCTAACAAATTTAATTATCTCTTTGTTTTAAACAAACATATTAATCTCCTCACATTGAATATATATATAGGCTTTTAACCGTATCAAAAAGGCTTTTTCTCCTTGGGCAGTGAAGTGTGTTTTTTTTTCCGGTGAATCTTGATATAACTTATTGTAAAACAAATATTTCAAATGAAAAGTGGTTTACTTACCACGACAGTATTCCATTAATATGAGCACCTCCCACACATTATCATTAACAGAATTGACAGCACAGTCCAAATACCCTACAATATTCTTGTGCCCAGATAGTTCTTTCTGAAAAAAAGAAACAGACTTTAAGTTGTAAAGGAATAAAGAAAACTTGCATTAAATAAAAAGATTTTTGAAAAAATAGAAACAGTAAAATTAAATAGAGCATATTTAAAATAAAAAATAAAATTTGCACAGGAAATCTTGATTTGTGTCCTTCATGAGATCATACAAAATCAATTTTTTCTAGCCTAAAGGGTGTACATTTAAAAGTTTAAGCCTTTTAAATGTACATAGGAATTTAAGTCACAGGAATTTGTGAGGAACAAAAAATATATGCTCAAATATGTGAATCTGTAGATAATTATTAACAATGAAGAAAAACCATTAAAATGTATAAACATCGATGGCATTGTAGGTACATCAGAAAGAGGATCACTCTTTCCATTTCAACTGAGTCCTGCACTTAAGAGATTAGAGTTCCCTCCATTTAGACTACTAAGATTATACTATATAACTTGATTTTGTTCCTGGGTTATAAATGTCATTTCCTAATAGGTTCTATAATAAAAACATGGTGAAAGTTTATTAAACTACAAAAACTTTGCTTTTGTGGGACATCTTTCAGCACATTTTGCTATAGTTTTTCACTGAATATCTCACAGAGTCTCAATCAATTCAACATAGTTTGTGACACAAAAAAAGTTTTTGGAGTATAACAACTACTTTCAAAATAAGTACCACACAATTAAGCAGGAATAACACTTTCTAACCAGGAACATTTTTTAAAAAATTTGTTGCATAGTGTTATTAGCCCTATGATGAATTGTTAAATTATGTTTTCTCAAAAAATTAATGAAGATGAAAGCAGGTTTTTTTACTTTACTAACTCTCATTAGTTTAAAATTAAATATGAATATAACATCCAATTTATTTCTAATTTATCATTTGATTGAGATGTGCATACAAGCTATAGATTAGGCATTCTCAAACTGCAACCCTTCCACTGTTTGACCTCCAACTCCCAGAAGCAAGCCCCAGCCAGCTTATTCAATGGTCGAGGTCCAAACAAGTGGAGTGCCACAGTTTGACAATGCCTGCTATAATAGTAAAATGTTTCACAAATACCATATTTACGACGCAAATGTAATGTGTTTTTTTTTTGCTTAATTGTTTAGCCAAAATTGAGATGCACATTAGATTTGATGGCGCATTACAATAATCAAAAGGTGCCTTTCCCCCTACATCAGGGTGAGACTAGCGAACTCGCCAGGCTCCGCCTTAAGGATGGAGCAGGGGCTTCCCTCCCCAAGCCTTTCTCCTTTGCCTCTCAGCTGAGGTGCACATTAGATTTGTTGGCACAACAGAATTGAGTAAATACAGTAGCACAGAAATAAACATAGTAATGACAAACGTTACACTGAAAAACGAGTTTGTGATTACTATTTATAAATAAGGAAAATGTTTTAAATGTAAATATTCGAACAGCCAAAGACCTAAACATTTGCTTCACATTAATATCTTGACAAAAGAATATATGGAACCACCACTAAAATGAGAAACTAAATAGATTTGACAAACCCAAGTAAATAATAGCTTAGCATCTCTTTAATTCATTTGTCAAACCACTTCTGAAATTATTTGTTTTGAAGAGAAGTTGAAAGGGTACAAAGGAGGAGTGTAGACTGAATAAAGATGCTTCAGTATGAAAATATACCAATTCTACAGTCATGGGTTCACTCCACCTCACCCCCCAAGAATTTAGAGTTTATGTTTTTGAGTGATTGCTACCTCAACATAAGAATTACAGTCCCAAAGAGTTTCCAGGCAGAAGGAATATTTTCTTATAAGCCTGAATTTCAGATATGTGTTAAAGGGAAAAAAGTAAGAGCCAAATGAGAAACATAAAGATTTTTAAAAATCAAATATGCTGCCACACTGTATAAAAACCATTTTACAGACAAGTCTAACATCAGAAAAGGCTGAAGACATCCCAATGAAATTACTATTCAGAGTAATTTGTATATTTTGTGTCACCTTTAAATATTTATGACAACCACTCTCGTAATGTAACACTATCCCCACTTAGAGACTTGTTATACACCTCTAGACAACACTAACAGCATTTGAAAACAAGTTTGAAATATTTTTAACTAGAAGAGAGAATTGCAGAGCTGTCCCAGGATACTTCCAACATAATCTGCCAATGCACTTGTTGATGTTCTAAAACACTGAATCTCCCCCAAACACTTTAAAGCAATTTTAAAATAAAAAGTTAGCATATGCTTTGAATACAAATATCATTGAAGAAATAGAACAGTTCACTTACCATTATTGTTATTTCTCTTTTGCAGACATTGAGGTCAGGCACATTATTAACATACATTCGTTTCAACGCACACCGGACTCCACCATGTGTACGCACTAGCAGCACTGTGGAAAAGCCACCTGAAAAAACACCATAATAAATAAGTCCATCTTTTAAAAATTTAGGCCAGGTGTGAGCAGTTACCCTGGAGGCCAGCTTTTATGCACAGATGCCTCACAACCATAGCAGGCTACATCATCACATAGAATTAATATGGTATCACTTCCAGCTTTGCTTATAATTCACTTCCCATCAACTTTCCCCCCAGTTTTCCACACTTTGGTACTTGAAACACACGGTGGTAAACACCACTGCAATATTACATATTATTTTAGTTCATTTGGGGCAAAAGGAAAAAAGGTTTATCTGGGCCTTGTGGAGTCTTCTCCATCCCTGATTTAAGCAATTCAGGTTTCATGATTTTAAAAAACTGTTTCCATTATCCTTCATTTTCCTATTGAAAAATATAAAGCGGAATTGAGTGCATATAAAAAACTACAGGATAAAGGGTTAATATTTGCCACATTCTCTGAAGTTGGAATGGTTTCTAAGAATCACATAGTCTACCTTACTGACAGTATAAAAATTCCAAGGTCTTAGGTCTGTATTGATTTAAAGTTTTGTACTAATAGCAGTTTCAGATGTTCTTTGACTTAATTTGTTGTAAAGTGCTTGAGTCCTTTGGTGGAAGTAATGTGGAGTATATATATATATATTAAATACATAGTAAAATAAGCAAAATAAAGTCCATCACTTCCAAAGACAATTCATTCTAGTGCTGAAGAGCTCTTAATATCAACACAGTCTTACTAATATTTTGACAACTTCGCATTTCTTATAATTTGAACCCCACTGGTTTCTGAGCACAGCAGAAGACATTTTGTTCCATCTTTGAATATTTCAAGATGGCTATCATATGACTCCTCAATAATATCTTTTTCAGACATATGCTCAACCTCTCCAAGTATTCCTCAAAGGGCTTGATTTTAGAGTCTTTACCATCTTTACTGCATTTTGTTGAACATACTGCAACTTGTTAATATACCTCTTAAACTTTGAATCCCAGAACTAGACACACAGGTGAGGTTTGATCAAAACAAAAGAGTGATACAATTGTTTTAGGCAGGAGTCTACAAATAACTAGCACAGTATAAATCAAAGTGACAGATAATTCTTATTATTCAAAAAGTGAACTCTTTATTCATCTGGGGGAAGCCTAAAAGGCCATTAACTTGGTTTAAACAAGCTTCCAAAAAAATGTCATCCATGAAAGAGAAAAATAAAAGAACAAATTCAAGGTAACATTAATGTCCATTGTGTGTATTTGGTGAAAATATGGGAGAATATCCAGTCACCTGACATTAATTTTCTTGCGGCTGATTTTTTTTTCATACAAAAATATTGACTTACCTATAAAAGTAATAATTGTGCTTTAGATTTTTTTCACAGATTTCTTGACATGGTCATATACAGAACAAAAAGACATGTTTATGTATTTCGTATAGCTTGCAATGTGAAAACAACACTGAAAACAGTGGGGTGTTTGGAATGAAAGTTGCCTCACTTTTCTGTGCTCATGCACTCTCTAGTTAACTCTATGTTCTCACCACTTCTCTCTATGAGCGGGCTTTCCCCCTCTCCACTCTCACCAGCTGACCACTGTGCCCCATGCTGGAAACCAGGGACTTAAATCAAAGGTGTGTTATGGGGTGCACTATGACTCAGCACCCAATGCAGAGGAACAGGTGAGAACAGTCCACCACCACTTTTTCCCAGAAAAGGATATTTGCACCCCTTAAATGTTGGAGCAATTTCAATGTATAGTAGTGGTTCTCAACCTGTGGGTCCCCTGATGTTTTGGCCTTCAACTCCCAGAAATCCTAACAGCTGGTAAACTGGCTGGAATTTCTGAGAGTTATAGGCCAAAACACCTGAAGACTCACAGGTTGAGAGCTACTGATGAATAGAAAAAAGCTGCTTCTTGGTCCCAAATGTCTCATAGGAAGCCCAACATGTATTTGTTCAGAGAGGGGTTGCTCTTGCCTCCCTCTGAAACTGAGAGTGATGGCCAAGATCAATCAGTAGATTACCATGGCTGAGCAAGGATTTGAATCCTGGTCTCCAAAGTATAGTCCAGTGCTCAAATCACAACAACTTACTGGCTCTGCACAATCAGATTGGACCATTACAAAGTGTTCTACATTGACCCATCCTTGAGAAGCTTCAGTCAGTCCAGAATATCACAAAGGCTCTTACTGAGAAATCTGTGCGATTCCATTCAACAAATGCCACTCATGTGGAGTACCAAGTAATTTCTCTTTTTGCCATTAGGTGGCAATATTTGCTAATTTAAAATCTATTAAAATCCTATACATACAACATTAAATACAACAATTTGGGAAAACATCAATGTATTGTTTTGTTTTGGTTAATATGAAAGAAACAATGTGGACAAGCATAGCGCTTTAATCCTTGAAGGGTATACAGGAAATTTCCCACAATGAAGTCCAACACAGCAAAACACTCTTCATAAATATTGAGCTCACAGTTATATCCAGTCTGATATGCCATATATTGGTATAATAGATTTTTAAACATTTAAGAATATTGTCTCAATTTAAAAATTAATGGACAAAGGAGCTTGTTGTTATTACTGTATGCCTTCGAGTCATTTCTGCTTATAGTGACCCGAAAGTGAACCTATCACGAGGTTTTCGTTGTTCTTGAGGGGATTTGATGACAGGGTAACTTTGAGATCTTTCATTCATGCGTTCACCAAACATTTAAGTCTACTTGACAACAGTTAAGAACAAATATGTATATTACATTACATGCAATTAATATATCTCTGGGTACTGTTTCATTCTGCAGGCGGAGGCCAAAAGTGGGTGCTAAACAGAGATAGTTCATTTTACGGGGGGGGGGGGGGTTAGGGAAGGAGTAAAACTATTTCCCTGTTTTTCTGTGATTCCCCCCACCCATGTCACTGTAGTAGAAACAACCCTCATTTATGACATGGGAGGGGGGAAATAACCAGCAAAATGGGGGAAATAGCTTTCCTCCTTCAAATCCCCCCCCCCCATAAAATGGATTATCCTTCTGTGTCTAGTGCCCCCTTTTGCCTTCCACCCAGATAATGGAACTGTACCTATTTCTGAARCCAGTTAATTTATAGTTTAATTACRACATCCATTTGCTTCTTGAAAAGTGTTCACAGATTTATTAAAGGCAGTAAAGATGGCAACAGATCACTAAAAAGCCATTCTACTCTTTATCTTCAGAGTAGAACATGGAATTCATCAAGAATGATGAATTACATTGAATTTTAGAATAAGTTTGCATCAGGTGCAATCATCGCAATACTCAATAGTTTATGTTGATGAGACTGCATCTAGCCTTGGGCCTGCATGCACTCTCCTCCTACAGCGCAGCTGCAAGCACTTGTGTTCACTTCAACATCCAATTAGCTACAGCTGGCTATTTCATGCCAAACCTAACTCTGGAAGCCAGCTTCAAGCCATAGGTTGTGAAGCTGGTTTAATTGAAACGATGGATAAAGTTTAAGGTTCAGACTTCATGAAAACCTGTGATTAATAAAATAAACTTTTCCAATCTGGTCAAAGGATCAGTTCACAAGCTGAAGGCTCACTTCCAGCATGGAAAGCCGTAGTTTACTATGATAACCAAATACAGTCAGTGTTTTCTAAAGATAAAATAACTATCAGGTGCGTGATTTTTCATTACAGTATTTTTTAATTTCTTAATTTTTTCCTTTGATTTCCTTTCTATTACTTTGAAAATTGCTAGTGAAAAGATTCATTTTCAAGTCAAATTATATGACACTACTTTGCAATATGTACTGATTCATGCCAAACATCTCACTGAATTCAGCAATTAGTCCCAATTAACGCAGATCAATTAAAACAACAGAAACAGAATAAAATGTAGGCCATAATTCTTTGTAAATAATGTTTGTATATAAAACTTATGTAAATGAAATTATTTTCCAGGTGAGAAAGTAAACTGTATGCAAAATTTGTATGTGTATGTGCAATTTTCAAGGGAAAGAAGTCTATAGTGTTCATCATATTCTCAAAAGATCCATAACCCCTAAAAGATGAAGAACACCTATTAAAAGCAACTTCAGCTTTATGACACAGAGAATTTCATTTTTGTATGTATCAGGAGTGACCTGAGAAACCCCAAGTCACATATAAACTATATAAATATATACAACAAGTGAATGCGCACTGTAATTCAAATATTGTTTCAGCTACCTATTTTTGAACCAGAAGCTTGTACGCAGTAAATTGACTGGTTTGGTAAAATCAATGAGAAGCTCAACTCATACACTAATTAGGTTCTTGTGGGTTTTTTCGGGCTATAGAGCCATGTTCTAGAACATGGCTCTATAGCCCGAAAAAACCCACAAGAACCTAGTGATTCCAGCCATGAAAGCCTTCGACAATACATACACTAATTTCTCAGGCATCATTACTGCCTCAGGGTTGCTGGGCACAATGGCTATACAAACAGCACAAACCACAAAGTTCCTTCTTCAAATTAAAAAATAAGATGAAGGCGAGGTCTAGAATCTGAAGAAACATAAACCATGAACATAAACACACTCACTCCTCAGACTGTTTTGCTAAACATACTCCTCAATCCAGTATGGTACAAGAATCTGAGCACTGAACTAGAACTCTGGGAGACCAGATTTTGAATCCCCATTCAGTAAAGAGAATCCTCTTGGTGAATTTAGTTTATTAGGAAGGCAATGGCTAACCTCTTCTGAATAAACTTTGCTATGAAAGTCCTAGGATAGCCTCCCCATAAGCTTGAGTGGACTTGAAGGCACACAACTCATAAATCAAATTTCCATTTTTGTATCTAATACTTATCTGAACTTCTTTCTACTTTCCAGTATCTCTTTAATGTTTCAATGCCCAAAACACCACAGGCTGTCCGAGTTACAAACAAGATTGGTTCTGAGGGTTTGTTCTTCAGTTGAATTTGTTTTTTGTTTTTTATTGTGTCAGAAGCGAATTGAAGGTACACAGTTGTAATGTATTTAAAAACA